ATTAAGTGTGACATGAATGTTTCAGTCATGGTTCTTACTGGTTTGCTTGAAGTCCTTTTCAAAATAAAAGCCTAATATGTTATATTATGCATGCGAAATAAACTAATTTCTGGCATAATTTGATTAACACTGGAGTTGCACTATAACTGAATGGACTCAATGGAATTGTTTGAGTGAAGATGAAGCATAGGGTTCCCAAAGGTTTTACTCCAACTGTTTTCCTGTCACCTAGATTTGAAAAGCTTTCTTGGCAGAAGAATTTGTAATTAATTTGTGTTGGTACTTAATATCTAGACAGCTTATTTTTAAATCTCTTATTTTTGCTATCTCTTTCTCTAGAGCAGTTCTAAGAAGCAAGCCTAGTGCTAACCTCATTTTCTTGATGGGTAATGGGATACCAAGTGTATGTACACAATACATGTGCAATGAAGGAGGTAGTGATTATGTTTTGTTAACCGGAGCTCCTCAGAGGTGCTTAATATTTCATCACAAATTACATTGGTAAATTAACAGTTCATCTGGCTAGTTAGATTTACTAGGGCAGATGGCATTTCGCATGTGTGATGAGAGCAGGAAGGAGACAGCAAAGCAGTAATGTCATTAGCTGTGTAAATGAGCCTCATAAGGTAAATCTCTTTAACCCCAGTGATAAAATGTGTTCTCTGCTAAAGCCTTGGATTACTGGTCCTGTGAAACAATGTGTGCAGCTGGTCAAGCTGAGATTTCAGAAGTAATCCCGTTAATTTGAAAATAGAGGACATGGCTTCTTTATCACACCTTCTAGCACTTTTATATTTGAAACAGAAATCAGCCTCAAGGTGGTACTCTACCGATAATGCAGAAGAGAGTTGTGTGGAGTTACCTTAGTTCAATTTTAAATAAAAACTTACTTGAATGCTAGAGATGAGATGTCCTAGCTAGGGAGGAAAGGTGTTTCATAAAAGCAAACTAAAATCACAGGCTGAATTAAATGTGAGCTGAGGTGTCTCTTCCTTGTGATACAGTGAGCAGTGTAGCCATGACTGAAAACATGATGCTTGTGTTTACACAGTACCTGACACAGGATGCTCCCCCGCTTAACCCTAAACTGCTGCACTAGCAGCTGTGATTATTCTCAGCGTGTGTAAAACCAAATAGAATTAGAATAGTTTGGGTTGAAAGTGACCTTTCAAGATCATCTAGTCCAGCCCTCCTTGCAGTGAGCAGGGAGATTCTTGATACTGCAGAATCACTAAGGCATGTTTGTGCTTACAGATGTGTGGGTGAATAACTCCAGGTAATCTCACCTTCAGTTATAGCCAAAATTATTTTTTTTATGGGAAATATATATGACTTCCACATTTAATTTGAAATGAATTAACTGGGAATGTGTCTAATGTAGTTTATACTGAAAGCTATTGGAATAGTAAATTCACAGTAAAGACAGGTCAATCACTGTGTGCTGCATGGTGAGAGAAACACCCTGAAGCGTCATGTTACTTCTTAAAAACCATTACAAAGCAAGTAGTAAATCTTTATTCAGCAGAGAAATCTCACATTCTGGAAAATTAAGAGGAAAACATGGGCTTTGTAATAGTGGCCATCGTGCTATGTGTAAAACTGTATTTTTCTCACTATTTAAGTTATCCATGTGGAAACTTTTTCTACCTATTTTTAGTCCTTCTTGTTTATTATAAACCCGAAGCTGTTTTAGTTTGATGAACAGACTTTAGAGCCTCTAAATTTCAAAAACACATTGAAAATGCTGTTTTCTGCATCAGTTTGTCATAATGTATTCGGGTTTATTTCTGTTTGGGTTTTGTTTGTTTTGGCTTTTTTTACTGGCAGGCTATAAATTATGGAAACAGTATAAATAAAAACTGTGAATCAGGAACATTCTGACCAATTTAAGCATATCACAAGTAATCAGAGCAGGTTTGGGTGGGTTTGCTTTGTTTGTTAAGTATTGGATGTTTTCCTTGGAGATACTGAAAACCTAACTGGACACAGCCCTGGGTAACCTGCAGTGGGTGACTGCACTGAAATCTTGAACTGCACTGGAAGATCTCAGGGTCGGTCCCTTCTAGCCTCAAATATCTTCTGTTTCTCTTGAGTAGTTTTACATATACATACAGATGTCTTAAATATATATGTATGTATAGATGTATGTAAAATGCTTAGGGTTTTTTTAATTTTCATGTTAATTGAAGATGGGGACACACTAAGCTAAAGAATGGGTAAAATTTTTCTACTTTTATTTAACAGGAAAGGCTAATGCTTTTAAAATTTTTATCTTTTGCTGATTCCCAACAGTAGGAAATGTATCAAAGAAAGCTTTTGTCAGTAATAAGATTTAGCTTTGTTACATGCTTCCTGGCAGTACTTTCACTCCTCCATTAAATAATTTATAATAAAAAGTCAGCATGATTGTAAGATAACTTTGAAATAATTTAGATCAGAAGGGACCTCTGGAGGTCGTTGGGTCCAACCCTTTTCCATAGTAAGATGAACCTTTGAGTTTAGAGCAGTCTGCAAGTGAGGAGAGGCTTCCTGCTTGGCTTCAGAATAGCATCAAGGAGGGTGATGCCACAGGGTCCTGGGCAGTCGGCTCCCGTGTTTGACCGCCCATATGCGGACAGTCTGTACTGCTCCATGCCACTGAGGATCACAGAAGCTATTCCTTTTTCTTCCTTCCCATTGCATTCTGATAAAAATTGGTAGAAATTTCTCTTTAGCTGCTGTTTCGTGGTGTGTTGTCACACAATGCTGAATAGTTGAATAACAAGGGTTATTTTAGCCCTTCTCTTCTGCTTGCTAAAAGGCATTTAGCTGTAGAGAAAATTCCTTGCATTATGTATTTTATGCACCAATGCTTCTTAAATTTACTTATTTGGTAGGTCTATAGATATAAACAAGAAGAAAGAAATGTTGCCTCTGCTGAAGAAAAAATTGTCTAACAGCCAGTGTGAATTACATTTTTGAGGTTTGCATGGTTCTGCCTCACTTGGCTGTACGCTTTCTTGACGCTGAAACTCCCAGAGAAACGGGGCTGGTTCCTGGAATGGTTTTGATACAGGGAGGACTCTTCTGGTCCCAGTGTGCAAGATGTCTCAGAGCTGCAGTGTTAAATCAGCTGCATGTTGCTTATCCAGTGGTGTGTGCCCTTTCCTTCAGCAGACTCCTGACTCAAGGTCCAGAGCTTGAGAGGATTGGCAGGGATGTAACTCTTTTGTTCTTCCCAGGTGCTTATTACATATGTTTTGGGTTTACTTCTGTTACTGTGGGATTCAGCCTTATCTTCTAGCATATGTATGGTCTTTCCAAAATGAGGTTGCCTCACCTTAGAGAGTCCTTGACCATCTGCTGCTAGCACTCTTTCTGCATTTTAGAATATACTTCCCATCTGTGGATAATTTGAAGTTTGAGACTCCAGTGATATGTTCACAGATTTTATTTTTTGTCAGTCTTGCTGGCTGCATCTTCCTTGCAGAGAGTACTTTCCTTGAAACAGCAGTTGTTGCCTTGCTGTTACGTGCTTTCCTTCCTTGGACATACTTTTCTGCAAGGATCTCTTCAGGATCTCTTCAACTTGCAGATCAGTTGAGTCCATATTCCGAACCCTGGAGGATGTTGGGGAGGGAGGACCATGGATGCAGTTTGCTTCGGGGTTTCTTTTCCTAAGCCACATACAGGCTTAGAGAGATGTGAGATCGCAGCCCCTGTGAGCTCACTGAAGATATTTTGTGGGTGCTGCAGTAAATCCTGAGAGGGCTTGGATTTTTTTGGAGAACAGTCAGTTTTGAATCTACAGGCCCTTTATTGATCTTCAGGATAGGTAATTCATAAGAGGTTTTTCCTCAAGTACACTGAGTTGCGTATGGGGAGACTAACAGTGGGTCAATAGTACCATTGGGGCAGTAGTCCATATCTATATTAACATGATGGACAGAGTGCTTCTCCTTGAGGTGTAGTGTGCTCCTTCATAATGTGTTTCCTCTTGGTCAGAGGAGACTAGAAGTTCAGACAGTCCTGCCTCCTAGACACTACTGCTTGTAGATAGCCTAGCATGGAGCACACCCAGAGCCAGTGATGCCCCTCTGAGTTAGAGGATCTGCAGAGCTGGGAGTTCCTCTCCAAGTACAGGGTGTCACAGAAATGACCAGGAGCCACAGTCTCCACCATAGTTCCTGCAAGGTTGGCAAAACCTTGGTGAGGGTAGGCTGGTAATCCATTTGTTCCAGTGGCTGGGGTATACTGAAAGAAGCTGGTGGGTGAAATTGTATCTGTAATGTCAAGTGGCATTATTTGTGTTAACTTTCTACTTACTTTTTTTTTTTTGGTGGTTGTATTTTGTCTATATTGTGAATATTAGGAGTGTGTTAGATGGAGCTGCATGCACAGTAAATTGCCATGTGTTAGGCTTTTTGATTTGAGTGTTGCATACTTTAATGCAAAGGTGGTTGGTCCAGAGGGGGGAAAAAAAACACTAAAAAACCCACAAAACCCAAAAACAAACAAAAAGGAAAGAAAAAAAAATGTTGGCAAGATAAGGGCCTTCTTCCTTGTACCATTCAATCAAGGTTATCATTAACATGCTTGGTTTACACGTTATATATCTAATTCTCTGTGTGTATATATATATGTATGTATGCATGTATGTACTTGTCATAAACGTGAAGCAAAACTGATACTCAGAACTTTGTCCAAGTAATTGATAAGTTTGTGATTAACTTTTAGTCATGATTATATAGTACAGAGGATGACCTTGGAAAACCTTCACTGTATTTCAGTGGGAATTGGTTAATTGATAGATAACCTGGTTATCTTCTTGTGACTTCATAAAATATACAGTGGATTAAACTAGACAGGTTTATGGAAAGACTTACGTGCTTGCCAATTCTGTTGATGTCTGTTCATAATTTCATTTTGCCTACCTAACAGTAGAATTCATGCCATCCTCTTTCCCCTGTTTTTATTATTTATATTGTTTAAAACTCTGGATTATTCTTGCTTATTTTCAGATCTCATCAGAAAACTAGCACAGCAGAAGTTTGGAAATACACAGGGTGATTATCAAAAGGTAAATTGTCTATGTGTATCTGCATAAGATAATGAAAACAATGATTTTGAAATTCAGTGTTGTTTCTGAAACAGGGAGTAGTATTTTAAAGCTATAACAACAGGATGCAAGAATGAAATTTGTGAATGATGTGTGTGATGGTTTCATACAAAATTTGGGACCAGAACTTTTCAAAAGATACTAAGCCACTGTAAAGAAGCTATGAGTAGTTAAGGCTCACTTATAAATTCCAGCTGTAATATGATTGTGGTGTCTATTGCACAAAGACTGAAGGCTCTTTGTATTGAAAATTACTGCTTTTATTTAAAAAACATTTGAAGAGAACCATTAGTGCTCAGCTCTCATGTTAGTGTCAGCTATTGTTCTCAGAAAGCTGAATTTATATGCTGGTTCTGATGCCTTTGTAAAACAACATTTCCATAGCCTACTTATAAAGTATATTTTAGTTTACATAGTGTGCTAATCACAGCAGGGATATTTTCCATTCTCTCTTTAGGTTTGTGATTGTTCTGTAACAATGGAAATTCATAGGGTACTTGGTAGCAAGAGAAGATAGAACATAATGTGGATCTGACTTTAGGCTGTTCTCAAGGACAGTACCCTATCTTTGAAGCAGTGTCACTGTGAGTTCCTGCAGTAGGGACCTTAACCAGGACCATGCAGTGGACATGTTACTTCATATGATCTACTCCCTTACAGTCCCTGCAGTATGATGTACCTGTCAGGAAGATGAGTATGGAACTTGGCATACAGGCATTGCGTTATTGCCTTGAATCAGGATAACCTGAAAGATCTTGAGATTTGAGGGTGGGAAAGCCTTGTGCTTCCATGCCTTCCTGACCATGAGCCTATCACTCCAGGAGCTTGATAACCTCTGAATGACATCCAAGCATATGGATACTGTTATGCTGCATCAAATGACTCTTGTCAGTCCTGTATGCTTGCTTGTTCGGTGGGGCTTTGAGAGCAGTGCATCACAGATTGTGCCTGTACACCCAGGAAAGAATGTAGGGTAGACCTGCTTAGCAGAGTCTTCGGACAAAACCAGTGGACCATAGGTGGTATACATGAGTGCGAGTATAGGACTTAGTAACTACTGTGTAAATCATGAGAAATTTGAGACTAATGACAACTGTAATCCAGCATAGTGGAGACACTTGTTAAAATACTGTGTGATTATAGAGTGGCAAATACAGTATTAGGTGCGCTTAGGAAGTATAACAGATATAGGCCATTTATTTATAGGCCCTAACTTTGACCTGAATACGATGCAAAAGTTTGAAACAAATTTGGAAGAGGAAAATCTATCAGGACAAGTAAAGAAAAAAAAAAAGTCCCTGGGAAGACACAAGCATCAATGAGAGGTAGCTGTGAAGAGGCCAGCATGACTGTGGGTGTGCCCCTGGAGGAATTTCTAGGGCGGGTAGGGAAGTGTGAATGTCAATAAAGTGTGTGGTAAATAGTTAGAAATGTCACCTGTGGTTTTGATCACTCAAATTTAGGGAGAATGAACTTGGAGTAGGAGGGGTTCAGAAAATGTGTATTAGGATGGTCTCAGAAACACACAGGTCTTCAGAGGAGACTGGAAGAGTTTGCTTAGCTTAGCAAAATAACTGATAAAGGGGGTGGTTACTCTTTACAAATAAATATGAAGAGGAAACACCAGGAAGAAAAAACTGCTCTTTGGGCAAAAGATGGTGCTATCACAGAAGCAAAGGGGCAGAAATGGGCTACATGTACATCCATGTAAGAAGACTCGCTAGTTCACCAAGCATTGGGAAGAGCCCTTCAGTAGCAAGAACAGGAAATCTGTTTCTGATATGTATCCTGTTAAATTTCTACTGTTGTTCCTCAGTATCTTCTCTTTTTTTTTTTTTTTTTTTTAAACCTATTTGTAGAATGTCTTTGTGGTCCAGGAGACCCTTCACACTTCTGTGGTTTGTGTCCCTCCCAGTTGGACTTGGTACCAGATTTATAAAGGAGGATAAGCATTTGTTTTCCTCCCACTTAAAGTATAGTTCCAAGTATGAGTTTGAACATTTTAGGCATATTGTCCAGTAGAAGCTTCATAATGATGTGTGTGACGCTGAAAAATCTTTTAAGACTTGAGAATATTTTCTGATTATCCTGCATCAGGCTTTGGTTTGAGGGGTCTTGCTGTCTTTAGCTCATCCATTTCCCTTTTCTGCTTATGAGAAAGGCGGAAGTGTTATAGCTCTGAACTTGTTATACAGAGGTGAAGGGGAAGAATACAAGAAATTATATTTCCATTCTGGAAACAAAAGGGAAATTGGGTTCTTCTGAAATTCCTGACATTGAATATTTAGTATTCAGTGTTTTTCTGAAATTACAGCTAAGAAATCAGTTAAGAACATGATAAATAGACTTCGTCAGTCTTTCTTGAATGCCTTTTCTTTTTTACTTTTGAATAATTTAAAATAAACCTCTACCCAATTAGTTAAAAGTGAGGGTGAATTTTGTGTGTAAGGTGATACGGTTTCAAACTGCTACTGAAGCTGCTGCTTTTAGGTCACAATAAAATTAGCATTGAAAAGAAGTTAGGAATATCATAGGTCTGTTCTGACAGGTGGAATTTGTGAAGAAATCACTAAACCACATAGTAATGTAATCTCTGTCCTTCTGTAGGATGTGTTGGAAATTACATGAAACATGCTCAGTGCAGAAGTAAATTCTGTTGTTGTTTTCATTTGGAAATATTTGTTGGACAACTAGATTCCTTTCACTTACCAAGGAAGCCAGAAATTGCCTGCTATGTATTTTATTATAAATAATTTTCTGTAATTATTTAATTGTGCTTCTATGTATTATTTTACTTCACTGGCCTTTTGTTATTGTTTCTGTGTTCTTAAATGTTTTAGTCATGGTTAATTATTCATTATTCACATAATATATTTTTTTTGTGCATGCTGCCTGTGTATTATACACATTCTTCATTTGTTTTGACTTCCACAGCCAGAAAATGTTGTCCTGACTCTTCAGGTAATGTCTTATGGTAGATGTACAGCTCTGGAAAAAAAACTAACCATGTCTGTAAGCACTACTTCTATCAAAACATCCATAACTATTTTTAATGTTATTAAAATATGTTTTTCTACCTAACCTGTTTTAAAATTTATGTTTATGTTTATCAAATAATTCTTAGAGTGTTTATCTAACCAGAAAATGGTAATTCTTTTGCACAATCTATCCAAGTTGTTCTTCTTAGCATCTAGTTTGTATTCTTCAGAAGGGATAACAGCTTTTAACCAGCGGTTGTTAATAATAATAATACAAAAAATAGATTTCATCCTAGAATTGGTAATTAGGTCAGAAATTTGCAACTCTGCTAATGGTGGTGGTTGCTGTATTTGGATCAGTTGGTAATTAGGGATTGTGAGGAAGGTCATCAGCAAAGCTGGAACTGGAGCATGATTGATAGCTTGTGAGAAATTGTCACTTACTTTGCAGGACAATACACAGCCTCAGATTCATCCTTTTACTGCCAAGTTGCCCTTGTGCTGGCAGGTTAGTAAAACAGAAGGGGACTGAAAGTACTAGTGTGAAATTTGTTCTAGAATTGGGAAAGGAAAGAAGAAAAGAGATTTATCAGGGAAGAAAGACTACTGGGACGTGCCCACACCATGCTGTTTAGCTCTGTGCAGACACCTGCCTGATCTGGATGTGTTGGCTTGTGTTCGCAGCAGAGGGAAACAGCATGGCCAGGTCACAGCTTGTCCCATGGAAGCCATGTCACCTTGCGTGGGGGCTGTGCCAGGATTATTGGTCCTGGGGCACTTGCACTGCTTCGAGCGTAAAAGCTAGTTAGGGTACGTTGTACCGTATTGTTCCCTCTCACTCCTTCCAGCTTTTGAAAGCATCCTTTTAGTTGCTGCTGCTTTGCTGTTTGGCAGCAGAAAAAATAATCTTTACCTGAGAGTTTAAAATCCACTCCTTCATGTTTTCCAGTCCCTAAGCAGTTTTAAGTTCAGCAGTTTGGAGAAACCTTTGCCATTGCAATCAATCATCCAGTGAAGTACTTAGCTTGGCAGTTCATACAAACCTTTCTACTCATAACTGATTAAAAAGGAGAACAAGCAAAGCCTCCTTCCCTCCTCCCAGATAAAGTGATCTAGTCAGCCTTGCTGACATTTGTGGAGCCTTTTTGGAAACAGATGTGAAAAACAGTAAATTTGGGGCCCAGGAAATCAAATGTCTTCATTTTTATCCTGTTTCAATTGCATTGATTCACATTTGTTTCTTATGAGCATATTTCTCTCTTAGCACTCACTCCTGTAGTTTACCTAGCTAATATTCTAGCTAAATAATTATTAACTATCAGTATCTATGATGTTGTGTATCTTTTTGTTGAAAAGTTGTCAATTATTGACAAAATACACCAAGTCTGTAACCTTGGTAACTTAGTAATGGTTTAGTCTGTAGTTTGATTTTTTTTTTTTAATTATTTGCTCTATATTGATTGCAGTTACTGTATGATATCTGCTATTACCACTATTTTTGTCTGAATTACAGGCCATCTACTATGAAATCGGTTTTATAGTCACCGCAGCCTTGGGATTGCTATTTATTTTGTTACTGCCTCTTGTGGGACTTTGCTTCTGTATGTGTCGTTGCTGTGACAACTGTGGTGGGGAAATGCATCAAAGACAGAAGAAAAATGCTGACTGTCAGAGGAGCTGTTTTGCAACATTTCTTTTTGTTGCTTCTTTAATAATAAGGCAAGTGTAATAAAGACAACAGTATGAAGCTTGGTATAGCACTAATTTTGCAGTGTCATATGACAAATAATGTTACTGTATTGGCCTACAGGTACAGAAATTATTTTATTAGTCTAAGTAATATTATTGCTTATTAAAGAAAATGTGACTGCATCATAAAAATGCTACTACCATTGCTATCCCTAGGTCATTATGTACTCACTTGAGAGGAATGTAGATGTGAAACAACAAAAAAAAATTAGGCTTGAGTTCAGCAAATGAAGTTTTTGCCTGTCTCAGAAGGGCAACTGCAGAATGTTGCGTTAAACTTACGAATGTAAGATTCTGTGTCCTGTGTTCAATTACCATCCCGTAGAGAACTTGAGGTAACAACATACTGCTTTGTTCTCAATAGTGTAGTAGTGGTGAGAAAAGCAATTGTGTGACCTTCTTCAGTACATGCTGTCCTCCAGGTTTTCATATTAGTTCAGAATAATGCATTTTCTTTTGGACACTTTGTTTTAATTCATGCATGCACTCACTGTAAAATCCTGGAGTTTGGAGACACTTTTGCACTTGTTGGTGTTAGGAACATACTCCTGTTCTGTGCTGGGTGTGGAAAGGGTGATGGAGGATTACAATCAAGACTTATCTTTTCCCTGTAGGTGCTTTCAAAATACATTGTTTGCTTTCAGGTTTTTTATTTTCCTTCAACTTCTTCATATTTTCACCTGCCTACTATCCTTATTTTGTGATTATAATTAAAAAAAATAATCTTTTGATCTATACCATGTGACTGTATGGTCAGGTGGACTTTCTTTGTCACTTCACTGTATTCTAGAAATTTTTTTTATTTTACTGCTGTTTGTCATGACAAATTGAGACCTTGCCTATGCTCAAATGTAGGCCACACTGATACTGGGTACGGGAACATGCTCTTTGCTCCCTGGCATCACTAACAAACATGATACTTAAGTATTCTGAATGCCAAATGGTACTGTAGGTGTATCCCTGACATGATAACAAAACAGAAATTCTTCATAATACAGTGGTGCCTCAAAGTAAATTATTAAATTACCTCTCAGTATGCCAAAACTGAAGGCAGCCTACAGAGCTTGCTAGCTAGCTTTACACTGTGTTGCAGTATGCTCTTTTGCATGGTGTTATGTTCTGGTTATAATGGCTGAGGAATGTTGCCTGTCAGAGAAATCAAGAGGTTGTCCCCCTTGTTGGTCTCTTAACTTGTGCATTTGCTGCCAGCTATTTTTGTGGTATTAAGCATACCTAGCACTGACAAGTGCTGCTTCCCAGGTCAAGACTGGGAGATCCCTAGTAAAATGCTTTCAAGGGCCAGGAAAACTGCCTCTCTAACTCATATTTTTATTTTTTCTCTTGTATGAGACATCAGGAGTATCAGATGCTTACCCTAAGGGAGGGGTTGGTCTGAGCTGTCTGCAGGTTTCCATGGGTGGAGATAATCTCATATGACTCCCTGGCTAAATCTCTTAATGCTGTGAGTGCTGTGTAAGGCAAGATAGGACTTTAAAGGGCTAATACAACTGTCCACCAGGTCTCCAGTACACCTCCATACAAAGCAGGATTCTGCTGCCCTTCCTGGATCTTCTTTCACAAGGGAAGAAAAGATGCTATGCCTGGATCTATTTAAGCCCATGTCAGCTTGCTTACTGTTGTACTGAAACACAGAAGGACAGTCTTGTTGGTAGCCATTGCCCCAACAACAACAAAAAAGGACAAAGCCTGAGATTTACTTAAAACTATTTCTTCATTTCTTATACTGTAGTCAGACTAAGTCTCCTTGTGGATTTATTCTCTACTTTTCCCCCAAGTTAACATACAATTTCAGCTTAGGTGGAAGATTTACCTGTCGCTGCTCTTTGCAGAATCACAGTTCTCAAGGACTGTGACACAACTGAATACATAAGCTATGAAAATCATCAAAAGAGTTTAGTCCTGTGCATGTTAAATGCTTATGGCTTCTCGCAGACAGAGCCAAAAGAACAAAAACTTAAATGATCTCCGTTACATCAAAATGAAATCACTAAAGCAAGTCCTCTCATTGTTCAGGTAGAGTTTAAGGTTCATGCAATGTTGAGGACCTCCTTTGGGAGTATGTGTCTCAAACCCCTGCCAGGTAACTGGAATGCCATAGGCTCCTTCACTAACTGCTGTCCTGCTTCAGAATCACAGAATCATTCAGGTTGGAAAAAAACCTTGAGATCGAGTCCAACCATCAGCCCTACTCTACAAAGTTCTCCCCTATACCATATCCCCCAACATCTCATCCAAACAGCCCTTAAACACATCCAGGGATGGTGACTCCACCACCTCCCTGGGCAGCCTATTCCACTGTCTGACCACTCTTTCTGCCAAAAATTTTTACCTAATGTCCTGTTTCAACCTCCCATGTTGTAATTTAAGGCCATTTCCTCTTGTTCTGTCACTAATCACCTGTGAGAAGAGACCAGCACCAACCTCTCTACAATGTCCTTTCAGGGAGCTGTAGAGAGTGATGAGGTCTCCCCTCAGCCTCCTCTTCCTCAAACTGAGCAGTCCCAGCTCCTTCAGTCGCTCCTCACAGGATCTGTTCTCCAGGCCCTTCACCGGCTTCATTGCCCTCCTCTGCACTCACTCCAGCACCTCGAGATCTCTCTCATATTGAGGTGCCCGAAACTGAACACAATACTCCATGTGTGACCTCACCAGTGCAGAGTACAGGGGCACTGTCACTTCCCTAATTCTGCTAGTCACACTATTTCTAATATGATCCAGGATGCTGTTGGCTTTCTTGGCCACCCAGGCACACTGCTGGCTCATGTTCAGCTGCTTGTCAGTAAGAACCCCCTGATCCTTCTCTTCCAGACAGCTCTCCAGCCACACCTCCCCAAGCGTATAGTGATGCATGGAGTAGTTGTTGTGGCCCAAGTACAGGACCTGGCACTTGGCCTTGTTGAAGTTCATCCTGTTAATGTTGGCTCACCAATCCAGTCTATCCAAGTCTCTTTGTAGAAAGTGCACTTAGCAAGGTGAGCATCTATCAGAGTACCCTGAACCCACACTTCTGCCAGTGGAGCTTTGCTTTAAAGACCTTCCAGTGGAACATATATATAGACAGTTGCTGAAAGGAGTGGGAAGGATTTCTAGAAAATGGAGTTCTTCAGGATTACTATCTTAAGTGTATGTTCTGCATCTTCCTCTCCCTCTCTCTTGCAGTGCTAGCCATTCTGGGGTTTTCTCAGTCAAAGAATCAGAACTTTGAAGAGCAGGAAGCATAGGCCTTTTTTTAATTAAACTTTTTATTTTTCAGTCCTTGGTATGGAAAGGCAGGTCCAAGCTGTCCTTCCTTTGCTGGGAAGTACAGGTCAAATGCATAGTAGAGAGTATTAGTCGGGGAAGGACTCTGAATGCAGAGCTTACAATAGGTTGTGTAGATAGACAACAACTGTTGAAAACTAGTAACATAGGGATGGCTTTATTATGTGTCAGCGTGCAAGTTCACACTGACATATATATGCTGTTAATATAGATTTTAGAAGATTTAAGTTAGCAGATTTAAATCACGAGGAACATGATTTCTTTGCACTTTTCCACTGATATAGAGCTTTGGTAATTAGGATGAGGTTTTAATACTAAGTTTACTAGAATGATGTGTAAAGGAAATATAAAGATGACAATTTTTTTATTTAAAGAAAAAAAAAATTCTACCTATATCTGCACTTTGAAGGGGAGGCATGTGGGAAGTATACTTTCCTCAAGGGAGAGGTATAAGAAACAAGTCAGAAGACTTGTGTTTACATACATATCTTAAAGTAAGTAGGCCGTGTGTCACTTTCCAGTATATGCACTTAGTGTTTGAAATATTTCTTTTGCTAGATTGAGTCAAAAATAAATGCAGTAGTTTTGGTAACTCACAGTTTTTATACATGAGTGTTGTCCGACAAAGTAGGATTCTATTGCTGAAGAGCACAGAATGCAGAAGTAATTTGTTACATAGAGGAGTAGGTTTGATATTCCACATTTGTCATTAAAACAATTATGTGCTTTTCTTCAGAGGTTAACTGAGAGTTTAGGGACAGAGACCTGCTATTACATCTTATTTCCTAGTCATCTGCAAGCTTAGGCAAACACATGGTTTCTTTGGGAAAGAAATGTATTTTCATTACTTCCTCTATATTGTAAAAGCAAGGAAGGGACATTTGATATCTTTCTTGAAGCTGCCATGTATGAAGCTAGGGAGAGCCAAGTCTGAAGAAAGGGAATGATCCTTGGTATCTTGGCAAGTACTTCATGCAGGCTTCATACAAGTCCTCTTAGCTTTGCAAGATTGGTAATGTATGTTGTTCAGGACCTGGGAGTCAACATTATCTGAAAGAATTGGTGAAAAAGTTGGTACAGAAATCTCTAGCCCATTATTTTTCAAATTCATTAGTAGTGAGGAAGGTGACGTTCTTTCAATATGTTGGTTCAGGATTTCAATTCTGTGACTTGAAGTTTTTTGCGAGCACAGCTAAAGGAAAAGCTTGAGTCACCCCCTGCAACTGGATTGGTAACATTTATATTGGTCTGTGAAACCTGACAAGAAATTAAGTGGAATATCTGACTCCTAAAGAGACTGTTTAAACAGTTCTCTAATCTGTTACAGAAAAGGCATGTCCTGCTTTATAACTTTCTTCTCATAGTTGCTTATTGAATGTTGACTCAAGGCTCAGTTACATAATAATTTGATAATAAATTGATTTTTCCTCTCTGCTGTTGTGTGCTTGTTTAGTTACATTTAGAATGTAGCTGCAGTTGTTCTGAGTGCCTTGTCTGTTTAAATCATCCCTGCTATCTTGTTTCCTCCTGCTCCATCTATTTAGGAGACTGAAGAAAAATGATCATGGTCAGGTCTTACAAAGTACTGCTTTGTTAGCTTCCAGTTGACCTTTCTGCTCTGTGAGCCTAACACTGAAGACATAAAAACGCTGGCTGTCCAAAGAACAAGGCTGTTGTTATAAACTCCGAACCTCAGAGTGACATACAGATTGTTTAATTTTCCTGATAGCTTGAGATTGTTTTTAAAACTTTACTTTTAAATCAGAAGACAAGCTATTACCATCAGTGTAGAGTGAAGAGAAATAATACATTGCATGTGTTCAAAATGAAACCAGTTACTTCTGCTTATGTTTAAAGTTATTCAGTTTCTTGGCATTTTATGCCTTCAGAGTATTCATTCCATGGGTGGTAGCTGATGATAACGGCTGCTCTGAGTGTTGATCATAGTGGAAATAAAACCATGCCATTTGCTGATAGTTAAATAAGTAGGAACATAAACGTTGGTGTACCTTTGTTCGTTAGTGACTTCTGGGAATGTAGTTAATAGTTTCAGAGACATAGCTGTGAAATTTCGGGTAGAGAAGCAACTTCTTTGTGTTAAACTCTGTCATCCTGTTCTGAGTATTTTTTGATATTTAGAAAAATATTAGTGAAGTGATCCTAATAGACCAGCACCTGTAGCATATAGTCTTGCCATCTCTCCCTGTATCATGTTCTGAAATCAGAATTTTCCTACTGAGAGTACTTGTCAAAGCAGTAAAAATTCTTGTAATTGAGACCAGTTTTACTGGGAGAACAAGCCTTTACACTGTTTGGAAAAGCAAAATAAAGATGAAGATTTGGTTTTGGATTGCTGATAAGAGGAGACAAGCATCATCAGGGTGTTTGCTCCTGTCTTGCCTGGATATACAAATCATGTTATTTCAGGTACCCATTTGCTCTCCACCATCTCATTTCTCGTTTATGTGGCTGTATTATGGCTTCCTTTCAACACACATTATTTGGAGCAAGAATTATACTTACCATATATATTTTGTCCCATAGGGACCCTGGTATAGCTTTTCTCTAAATCTTATTTGAAAATATTAGTATTCAGGTCTTCTTGACACCCCAGCTCAGGAGGCTTGACAGTCTGGGAGGAGTGCGACTCTTCTCCTGTCCATATCAGGCCTTTCAGGGTGCTGCCTCTAGTACTGAGCTGTAATGCAAAGTAAGAGACTGAGCAAGTGCGCCATGCAGGAACTGCCTGTAATGCAATCCCTTGGGAGATGTGTTGTGTACAATGTGTCTAGAGGATCTGTGCTGTCTACCAGTTAAATCTATGGAAAGTTAGTGCTCAGTCTATCAAGTGGGTTTGTAGTCAGCCTGCTTTTGAGGCTGTTACCTCTCTGGTATTACTCTGGTGCTTGTCTGAAAGGTTAGCGGGTGTGAATGTGAGATGTTTAAAACCAAAAAGTCATCCTTCTGTTTAAGTCTGGTTTACACCTAAACTAAACAAAAAAATTACGGATCATGTATGCTAAGAGAGCTTTTGAAGTCTCTCATGGGACCTTTAATTGCCTTTTTACTTATTGTTTGTGCAGATCTGCCATCCTGTAATTAGAATTTTACAGTAGGGAATGATCAGATAGAAAATAATCAGCAGCAGTGCTAACTGGAAGTCTAGCTCACTTGCCACCTTTTGTTTTGGTATCAGGAAGTGTTTTTATATTGTTTTAGTGTTAATAGGGCCTTCTTTCATGCTTTTAAAGTATCTATGCAATTATGTAAGTAAATTGGGCCATATGAGTAAATGTTGCTGAAGTTTTCAAATGTAAAATATTATTTTTCACAGCTAACTTAGGAGCGTTTACTTGTAGCTGTGTCAACATTAGTGATACTTGTAAAAGAGCCTAACATTTCTAAGTCTCTCTACAGTTTGCTTAGGCTATACGTATTTTCTGACAGTGTCAATGCAAATGGATAAGTAACTTTACGTTAATAACTTCTGAAGACTTTGGGTTAACATTGCTTTTTCCTTTCTTTTTTTGAATTAGCAGTAAAATATTGGTCCTTATGGCTAGTTCCTGTACTCTGCCTCATGGTGCATGTGAGAACTTGTAGTGAGAAAAAGGGAATGTAAATTTATGGAGACCTTTATTTTGATAATGTCAACTTTTTTTTTTTTTCCCCCTGTAACTTTTTTTGGTTCTGTTTTATGTCAAAATGGGCATTTACAGTAATAAAGAAATATCTGTATTTTTTGTAGTGTTGGAGTGCTCTGTGCGTATGCTGCCAACCAGCATTTAACTAACCAAGTCCGAGGAGCAAAGAAACTGGTTAACAGTAATTTTAAAGATCTGAAAATTTTCCTTAACGACACACCAGCGGTAAATAATTTTTTCTTTATGGGGAGTGAGGGTGGGAGGGAAGAGGTGTAAGTAAGACGTATTGCTGAAAATAATTGTTTCTATTTTGTATAAATCACACCTGCAGTATTTTTGTTTATTCTTTGTGTGTCAGTCTCACAAAGTAGAACAAATGATCCAAGGTAAGACATTTTCACACAGCAGTAAATGTTAGGGAGTTATCCTGATGGATCAGCATTCTTTGAGCAACTTTTGAGTTCTACTCCTGGAGCGTGCTGTGATGATGCTTGTAGGTACTTTTTCCTCCTACTGAACTAGTGTAGATCACTAGCAGAAGGTGAATCATTTGGAAAAATATTTTTTTTGAAAAGAATACATACAAAAAAAATATTACACAAAACCTTGAATTCCTTGTTGCTTTCTCTTGTTTCCTTATATTTTGGACTTATGTGCTCTGGGACTGAGCTACAATAACTTACTTTCTAGAAGTATTTTTGACTGTTTTTTCTTAAAACCAGTGTCATACTATGCTGTACTGAACAGGAAAGATTCTCTCCTTTCTACTTTTAAACTTTCCTTAGAGTCCTAAAAGCAGTCCTCTGCATATCTTTTTTGCACTGAAAGAAAAAAAGAAATGCTAGTAAGGAAGCCTTATGAACTTTCTCATGTACAAATTTCAGTTGTTCTCATGGATTAGAGGAAAAAAGTCTAATAGTCCTATTACCTTGGCTTTCATTGATTTTAATTAATGAAATTAATCTGGTTTACTTCCATGTGACTGATAAATTAGATTTAGGTGAAATTCACACAATTATGTGGGATCCACGAATGTGGTAGCCACAGTAAGTCTGGGCTGTTTTTCTGCTGACAGGACTGTATGAGAACAGGAGAAATCTGGGGATGCCATTAAATGTTTGCATACTGGAGTTGTTCCGTATACAATTACTAATTTGTGCATGGTGTTGTGACAGTCTAGTGCTGGAGCTATATGGAGGAAGTGCAGGTCATGCCAACAAACCTCTCTCTTGAAAGCGAGTATCTTTCATCACGTTTGGAGCTGACTCGAGGCACAGAAAGATGTAATCCAGTTGCATCAGAAACCACTAGACTCCACAGCATGCTGTATGCCAGCAATAGGAAATGTTGGAGTAGAAAATCTGTTACATAAAAGTAACTATCTTAATAGAGAAAAAATAGACACTGGCTAAAAAGTTAATAAAAGCACCTGAATTATGGAATTTAAAAGTGTCAGGACTTGAACATTTGTGCCAGGGGTTCCTCAAAGTCTCACTTAGGTAGTAGGTTTTGAGTTTCTATGCAGGATTATTAATTTTTCTTTTTTAGACTTGATGAGTGATGCAGTCACAAGTATATCTTCTAAGTCGTTTTGTCAGACAAGATAAAGGAGTAACATATATATATATATATATACACATTTGTAGGAATTTACTGAGGATAGACTTCAGCTTCCTGAAAAAGTTGCAAAATCCAACTAATTGGCTATAAAGCTCTGAAATCCTAACTGATGTCCTTGACTTACCAGTATGAGGTGTACAGCATATAAGAGGATTTGTGAAAAGAAGTCACATGTTAAGAGTTCATGTCATAGAAGATTTGCGGACTATGAGTATTGAGTGATAACACTATTAGTTATACAGAATCGCCTTTTGTCTGTGACATTGCTGGAGACAGTGCAAAACCTGTAGCCCTGCAAAATTTTAGTCCTTAGGTTAGCCTTGGAAGACAAAGCAAACAAATAAACAAAAATATACCTGCAACCTTCTTAGTAAGAAATTATATTTTTTTTCCTCATTTTTTTAGAAACAGGAGGTGTTCATCATACTTTAATTACATCCACTACTGTGTGATCAATAGGTTGGTTTGAGGGTGGGTTTTTTTTCTCTACTCCATAGAAAGTTTGAGATTGCAAGCCAGATAAACTTTGGTACACATTTGAGTCACCCATTGAAGCCCATTTGTCAAGTGTGTAACTTTTACATTACTTTAATTCAATTGTGGTAGAATTTGTAAAGCATTATTTTAAACATGCAGAAATCAGTTAAGGTTATTTAATGTCTTTTCAAAATTAGTATAGTAATATTTCCACTTGGGTTGGTTCTTTGTTAGGCTTTTGTCCAAACCCAGAATCTGGTGGTAACTGAGTTGCTGTTCTATATTGTTACGGTTGCGTGGTAGAGCTCAAGTTGTGACCGGGCCAAATCTAGCTGTGGGTAAGGAAAACCATTTGCATTAAGCCAGAGAAGCCAGCTTCTTTCTGCAAGAGAAGCTCTGAGAGGCTCCCCAGATACAGGCCGGTTTTGTTGGTGAATTACTTCAAAATTACCATCCCATCAACTTGCCACATGCCTCTCAGTAAAGTAGGAACTAATGCTGCTAGAAAATCAAATAACAGAGATGAAGACATGCAAAACAGTGTTGACCTGACTCGCTTGAAGCCTTCATAAGGCCACAGTTCCTGCTACTTAACACTTTCTAGCCAAATCATTTACCTCAGAGATGTTCCAATTAAGTAGATTTGCCAATTAAACACATTTTTTGCTATGTATAGTTCTGCCAAGCAAGATTTTAAAATACTTAGTTAACCAAAACCAGTAGAGAGCCAGGATTTTGAGGGTTTGCACATATTTTGATTGTTTCAAAGTGGCAGTTTGACTCACTATTTAAAAGCAGTACTTTTTTCCAATTATTTTAATAGGAGTTTTTTCCATCTTCTTTTCAGCAAATTGATTACTTGGTGAACCAGTACAATACAACTAAGGATAAAGCACTCTCTGAACTAAATAGTAAGTACTTTGATTTAAATGGGGGGGCTAGCAATGTGTGTTTAAAGACTTCAATGACATGCTGTAAATAGCGCATAATGCAAAGTGAAATTTTATGAGAATGTGGTTTTTAAGCAGAAGTGCTGTTCTCAGTGGTAAATGAGACTAAAACCCAAAATTCATTTAACGTAAAATGTCTTAGAGCTGGTATTATGCATATTGTTTCCTGAAAGAAGTCTTTTATTAAATTGCTTTTACAATAAGTCAGGCTAATATTTTATTTTCTTTTTTTATAGTTCAGTAACCAGTAGTACGTAACTCTTTTTTTAGAATACTGTTCCTCAGTTTTTACCTATGGAGCCAAATGTCAAGGAACAGAGCTACTAGCTAATTTTGATGCTTCCAACGAGTGAGGGATCTCTGTTTATTTTTGTTGTTATACCTTTGTCCTCTACTCAGCTAGAGTTGAGGTATAAGCTTATCTTTTCTCTAAAGCTGCTTAACCTATTTGCCACTTCAGAATGAGCAGTTGAAAAGCAGGAGATAAAACTTGAAATACAACTGCTATGCTTTCTCTTTCAGCACAGTTACAATGAGGCATCACCTTTTCAAGCTCTCAGTAAACAGAAACAATCACTGATTTTTTTGTTTTTTAATCATCAGTTTGCAAAACTGATAGTAGAAAGGGCCAACCATATTCAGTGCAGATTAGAATTCAAGATGTGTTGTTAGCAGGCGTTAATAAACGTATACAGGTCTGCATTTCAGACTGAAGTGAAATACAGAAATACCAAAACTGATTTTAAACAGTATTGTTGCTGAGATCAAACTATGCAACGTGCCACTTATTATAAATTGACTTACTATGCTCAGAATCTATGATTGTGTCTAGGTTTAAAGCATATTTTAAATGCAGTTTTCAATGCAGCCAGCTGGGCATACCCTGAGGTCAATGTGTCTTGTTTATATGAGGCTACAAATGCATGTTGAATGTGATTGCAAAAGTAGTAGTAGTAGTAAAGTAGCCTTCTTACTTAATTCTAGGCAGGAACATTCTGGTCTAAAAAAATGAGTGTCATCTTTAAGTCTATAATAATAATAATAATAATAATAATAATAATAATAATAATAATAACTGTACTTCTACAGTTCAAGTACTAGCTTGTAGCTTCCTAGGCACTCCAACCCAAAATTTCAAATTAAATATTTATTTCTTCTCAGTGCTAATTTAATATGTTAGTTAACAGGAACCTAGCTGGATCTGTGATGAGAGTGCTCGTTAATAAATAAAAATAGCTTTTATTTTCTTCAAATACTGGAGTTAAATGTGTGACACCTGGGAATAAAATGATTTCATTCTAAGGGAATCATCAGTATCATAAACCTCAAGAGAAGTGTAGTTGAGTTCAGTGTGCCCACCCTAAGGAAATGCTGAAAAGTGTTTTATGCTTGATAAAAATTCTTATCCAAAGTCAGACATGACAGTAATGGATGCTTCTGTACCATGCAGCATTCCCATCTCATTAGGAGCAAAAAATTCAAAAAGCTGTTTACCATGATCTGAAAATGGAGGGGACCCAGTGACTACCTAAAGGATATGTTACATTAAGATGTTTCACCAAACTCTCCTTGGTGTTTGTCTTCTTGCTGAACTAAGCATCATTTCTGTCTGTGGGCAGTGAGCTGGGAGGGTTTGGAGGTGAGGATAGCTATGGGTAGGCATGAAGCCAGAGCTGTATCAGTGCTGAATGCACTGCGGGGTGGGGGGGGGACAGGGACCGGAGACATGTGCTTAACACGCTTAAGGGATTTCAGTGGAGATGACTGGCAGGTTGTGGGTGACCTTGACATTCCTGGATACATGAGGAACAGGAGAAGGGAAAAGAATCCCTTTTCTTAGTTTCTCTTGCACTATGAAAATAATATGTGTAAAAACAAAATTCCTGTCCAGATGTTGGACCTCTTAAGATTGATTCTGGAAAAAAGCCCATTTTCAAAAATGGTAAATGCAATGAAATAAATATTTTGGAGTTTGTTGAAATGTTAACCTATATGGTCAAGTGCTAGTGAATATTCTCTGTCATATTTTGATTTACTGCTTTCACTTAACTTTCACTAGCCTGTAGCTAGCCAAAGGAGGACTCTGTTCCTGTGTTATCTTCTGTCACTAAGTTCTGACTGTTAGGCCGTTTGAGAAGTTTTAATAATATGTATACTTTCTTAAGTAAGAGTCTGACAGCATCTATACTAAGAGGTAGTTTAAACTGAACTGGTGTGTAATGGCTTTTTTTATTGCTCCATAATACAGATGTTGGACCTTTGCTTGGAAGCAGAGTTCAAGAACAGTTGGGAAAAGAAGTACATCCTGCACTTGATGCAGCTCTGACAATGGCAGGAGGTAAAGATGTACACGTTGTTATATTAATGTTCTGTTGCCATGGTAAAACAGGTATCTTTGTAGTGCACAGTATGAGACTGTTTTATGCAGTACCATGATTCAACTTACCGTTTTTCAACAGGCCTTGATGTTTCTTTTAAACTGAGGATTTTGTATATTTTGATTATAAATGTATTTAAAAATTGAATCAAGATTTTTGTGCTGCTGTTGATACGTAGTTTCAGCAGTCATTGGAGAGATGAAATCTGGCTTCTGTGCTCCAGGTTGTTCTCCCTTTTCACTGAATATAAGGGAGACTAGGAAAATTGTGCTTTAAAAGCTGTCTATAGGTCTTTACAGGTTAGTCTTTGACAGGTCAAGGAAAGAACATATATTGGCCTCGTTCCTGTACACAGCCAAGCTTATTATCAGAGTGCTAACCATCATTTCTTCATTGTATCTTTGAGTTTAGCATTGCTTATGCTTAGTTGTCTCCCTTTAAAGAAAATACTCTATTATTTTTTCTATTTAAGGCTTTTTTTCTGAAATCAAGTACAGCTTATAGAGCAAAGGGAAAGGCATCTGTGAACTTGAGTCACTTTGCTTTTTTTTTTTACCCCTGAATTCTTTCTCATTCACTCGTCATTCTCCTTTTTGCTTTTATTTCTCTTATTTGTCTTGAAGTCAAAGTGGAAAGGGCTATCAAAGGTAAAAACCATGATAGAGCCTCGTGTTGTGTGAAGTGCACTTTATTTTTGTGTATCTATAGTTGTATCTGTGTGGGTTTTTTTGTCTTGCTAAACACCTGTTCAGTGGTTGGTTTTGTTTGTTTGTTTGGTGTGATTGGGATGAAACCAAAAGCCAGATAATGTCCAACGCTCCTTAATGCTTGGCTGATATAACATGATCTCTTTCCCTTTCATCTTGTAGCTACGTAATTTGTGGGTTGGATAACAAACAAAATACTGAAAAGAACTGTTTTGTGGATATGGCCTTCCTTTTAATTTCTAATGACCAAGTGTTAAAATTCTTTACTGAAACCACTGAATAAGAAGAGGTAGGGAAAGGGTAGAAAAGAGTAATCTGCAAAGTGGATAGAATCTCAATAAAAGTAGCCCGACTACATTTGTTTGTAGGAAAACATAAGGATGTATTTTTATGTGCAGTAAATATGTATTCTGTGATAGAGGTTTTTTTCTGGGAGGGAGACAGGGTTATTTAAATCAGTATTGTTAGGAATATCATAGCATTTATACATGTGCACTTTCTCTTCATATCTGTATCTGTAGACTGGTTTCTAACTATTTTTTTTTTAAACTTCACATCCTTGCAGCCATCAGAGAAACAAAGGAAGCACTGGAAAATGTGAGTGTCTCTGTAGAGGTTTTGCAGGAGGGAACAGAGAGACTTCATGCAAACTTGACAGATGTTAAAATGCATCTAAACAACACCCTCAGTGATTCTGCATGCTCTGCAGCTCAGACTGCTTCAACTTGCAATATCATCAGGAATTCATTAAATCAACTGAACATCAATGCCAACTTTAGTGGGGTAAGAGAATATTTTTCAGATTCTTACGGTGTGATTGCCCTGAATGAGCCCAGTGGTATCTCTGCAACTTAATGGCTTGATGTGTGCTGTGACTTGTGAGATAAGCGACCTTCTCTTATTCGGTGTTTCTGGGTAATTCCAGTTACTGTTTTCATCTTCTGTGTGTGGAAGAGGATAAAATGTGTGTCAAGCAACTATGTTAAAGTGCTGCTCCGGGCAGTGAAATAATCTGCCCTCCCAAAAATGCTGAGATTAAGCTTTGGTTTTGTACAGCAAAGGTTTCAGGAGTGTGCTAGAAAGATTCTACTAGAAATTGTCTTTCTAGTTTCTTTACCCTCTCCTACCTTTTAAATAATTAGTAAATTAGCAAGACTATTATTTAATGTGACTCAAGAATTCTTTTTGCTTCCTAGTTGCCAGGAGTGAGCTCACAGCTTGCGAAGGTCAATGATGTCCTTAAAATAGACCTTTCTAGTCTGGTTCAAAAGGTATGTTTCTTGACAGACTTGTAAGCTGTTAATAAATCGGAATACTTGCATATCCCTTGTTTCCCCTTGGCTTTCTCAAGCAGAATTCTCTTGTCCCCACCTCATCCTGGCTCATGGTAGATATCTCTCCTTACTATCCCATTGTTTGGCCAAGACTTAATATTTGATAATGTGAATATATGCTTTATATCCCCAGGGTATCCTACAGATCAAAAATGATTGCTAATTGTCTGCTTGAAAGAACAGTCCTTAAAAAAACATAGGTAGAAACAGGGATATACCAGCACACTCTGTATTTTTTGGTTCAAACTAAAGAAAAAAAAAATCCACACACTCTCCTAATTAGTTATATTGTCTTCCAGCTCTTCTGAAATATGTCTTTCAAAATCTATATGTGTGTATTTGATATTAAATCTGGTGCAATGGATCCAATGTCATTACTATTAGTATTTCTGCAAGACTATCTACAAAATTTCATTGTGTAACATGCGTTTCATGTTAAGAAGGCATAGACTTGCAAAGAGGAGGTGTTTGACTGGTACACAGGAATTCCTTTCACTTCCTGAGCCTTCATATGTTCACTCTGTTTTATGAGGTACATCTGTTAGGCAATAGTACTATAAATTTCCTGATGTCTGTAACCAATACATGTATATTTAAATTCACATGGTTTTTTTTTTCAAAGAATATCCTGGAGAGCAAACTGAATCTGAAATATCCTTGAGTTCCTATTTTGCTTGGACGTTTTCTAACACAGTGATAAAAATGTATTTTTCATAATATTACCATGTACATGTTAGCATGTGTATGCCTTTACTATCTGCATAAAAGAAAGAAAATTGCAAGTAATTTGGCAGTGAGAAACTCATAAATTTTCCAACTTTTACCCTTAGGGTTATGCAGCATTTAATGATACTCCAGACTTAGTGGTGAATCAAACCAGGAATATTTTATCAGGTGAGGACAAACTATCTTTTCACTTTGATTGTTTAATGCTGATGTTTTCACATCACTTACTGATTTTTTTTCTTTTATTGATAATATATTTCCTGGGCTAAAGATAATTAAAATTGGAAATACAATATTTTTTTTTTAATTTGGTGCCACAAAAAAAAACCATAGAAAGCAACTGCGTCTTAACAAGAACCCCAAATTCAATCTAAGAATAGACCATATGGTATTTTATGAAGTTTTATACTGCTCAAATAATGAGAAATCTTGGGATCCCAACTGCACACTGATGCTTTATCTTTATTTGGTTGAAAAGCTAATTTTCCTTGACTGTTCTGTCTATGATGTAATTTAGGAGTGTGTTAAAAAACCTGAACCTGCCTGCTGCTGTATTAAAATGTAGTGGATGGCGAAGGGGAGGTAAAATATGCCTTAAGGGTAATTCAAATGTCTGTTTTGATTGTTTTGTTACTTGGACTTTACACTGTTGCTCTTTTGCAGTACCTGGACACTTGACATTTGAATAAAATTAGTATAGTGTATGTTTTTTTTTTTTTTTTTTTTTTTTTTGTCCTCCTAGGCAAAATGAAACACAGTATTTATACAAGCATAGCATACTGTGTGAACTTGCCTAAAATGAGCCAGTTTTCCAAAACTGATGTTACACTACGTTAGGAAGTCTAGTGCAGATTTACTCATTTTCTGTATCTGCTGATACACCTAAACGCAGACAAGCAATCTTAATTTATCTATTTATAAGTTGTTGGGGTTTTGTTTTTATAAAAAGTGAGTTTGAGTTACAAAGCAAATAAAAAAAAAGCCCCTTTACTAAAAAAACCCCCAACATTTATTTGTAAACTTATTCTTTTAAAAGAAGAAGAGTGTTTTGGTACCTAATTGAATTTAGAAGAGTAAACATCAAAACAAACAGCCAAAAACTTGTTGTTTGAGAAAGAGGAAGGTGTTTCCTACTACCAAATAGCAACCTATAGTTATGCATCCTGCTGTTTCAAGTATGTTCCAAGTTGAAAGAAGGGAAGGAGTAAACAGAAACTGCATTTTACAAATAGACAATATGTATAATAATAGAAATAATCTTTGTACCTGAATAGTTTGTATCTAAACTGTAAGTAATAGGGTAGCATGTTCATTTATAATTTGAGGAAATGGCTTAATTGATAATTATCTCAAGAATTTTGCTAACTAATTGGAATGAATTCATTTAAGTAATCTTTTTTAATAAGATTGAAAATAACTAGTATAGATCCTCAATATAGGCTCCTTCACAGTGTTGTATTCCCAAGAGATGGAGTTTAAATAGATTTTTTGATCTCCTCTTTCATAAACTTAGCGGCTAATTGTTTTGCTCAGTGTTACCATGTGCAATATTGCACGAAAAGCAAGATTTAAGCTGGCTAGATAAAAAGCGACATATTCATTATGACGAAAGGAAAGAGAACTCTGGCTCGACATCTACATCTTTCATCATTAAACTGAATGCTAAAAATAAAGTGTGCATTTTAAAATGCCATTGTGTTACTTTGAAGCTAAATGTTTGTGTTGCCTGCTTGTCTCTTCCTCACGCTTGTCTTCATGGCTTGCTTGCTACATGTGGCACATGGCTTAATAGCGTTTTATAATGCATACATGGAGCCTAAATTTCTTCTATGAATCTGTAACAGTGCAGTATGTTTATTCTTCTAGATATCAAAACCGTGTTGGAATCCATTGGTTCAAATATCACTACCTTCACAAAAACACTGCCTGTCCAGAATATTTTAGCAGATTTGATGGTATCTCTTACACAGAGTGAAGCATATGTTCAGGATTATTTTCCAGTAGTGGAGCAATATGATTTCTACAGGTATGTACAGGAAATAAGGCAGGAGTCATTTGCTACCTGTGATTAATAAATACTTCATAATATTTTAATGTTCTGTAAAGGCAATTAAACTATTAATGATGAACACAGTGAAACAAAGATGCTGTAAAGCAGTTGTTTGTTACTGACATTTTGGTAAATGCCAAAAGTGCAGTTAATCAACATCTGGATGGTGTTCCACTACAGAGCAAGAGATGTAATGCATAAAGGAATGGATTGTTTCACAGTACCAGGGTGACTTCTTATTGAGGGCTTGTTTTTGTTGAGTTGCAGGTAAGTTGCGAAAGCACAGGACCGGAGAGGCCTTGAAGCCAATCCCTTTTTATTGCACCCTTTCTGCCACAGAGGAGTATCAGAGATTCTGCTTCATACCTTCTAAATCTTTATGCCCCCGTGCTACTGGTGTAGTACTTGCCCTTGTGAATGCATGTGTTGATTGACTGTGAGAAAAAGATATTCTTCCTATAACTTGTGTGACTCCTGTAATTGAGTAATAATCTCATGTTTTGAAGCATGAAGCTTTTCATTTCATATCATTTAACTTTATCCAGATTTAGTCATTTCAGTCCTCAAGCTCATCAAGTTCTCCCTACATTTTGACATTTCAGCTGATCCTATAGTTGATAATTCCTTCTATCTTTGTGTCATAATCAGTTTCACTGCTACAGAATAAGTGTGCTAATGGCTTTAATGCAATGTTAAATAAAAGTGAGCAAAAGACTGAATTTGTAAGAACCCTACATAACCTTACCTTTAGCCCATTCCTTATATGTCAGTTTTTGAGGTGAGTCTTAATATGACAAATTTATCAATATTTTATTTGAAGCTCAGATTGCATTTAACTAAATAAATACATTGCTTCATTCTGCTACAGTACGCCTCTGTTAGTCTTGCATTTAAATACAAAAAAAGTGGAGAAATATATCTCTTGTACATGGCATTTAAATACCTGTTCTTGTCAAACCTAACCTAGTAGTACCTCAACTACAAATGAAACCAACAAACCTACAGTTGTCCAAATTATTTTCTATCCTTCCCTTTCATAATTACAGGTGCATTATTTGCTGTTCTTAAATATTCTTTTACAAATGTGCCTGTCAGCATTAATGTTTTTCTTTACTGGCTATGCATATTCAATTATGATACTCCTTTTTCTGATTTTTCGGGTTCCTGTTTTCTCTCTTCAAAGGTACAGGGAGGAGAAAGGGGAACATAAATATAAGCTGGGAGAAGTGATGACGAAAGAGTAAAGAAAGGACAGGGGAAATTGAGAAAGGGTGAAAGCCTAGAATGAGAGATAAAATGTGTGAATAAATGGATGTGCTCAAATAATTGGGCAGATAGAACTGTTATGTGATATAATTAATAAAAAATAAAGTTCAGTTCTTATCCAAGATCTTTCTCCTGATCAAGTTCCATTAACAGCTCCATACACTGAGAGCATTCCAGCACAGATACACAAAGCCTCGGTTTTAATAGCCTTATGTACAATTACAAGCATAACACACTGTGTGAAAAAAGTAGTACGCCTTACAGTAAGAACAATTATGTACTTCATGACCAGTGGCCACATTCATAGATTTCTCCCTTGCTTCTTGTATAAATTACTGTTTGAGCATCTGCCTCCTCTGAGTCATTGCTCCACTTGGTGCATTTTGATGCTTCAGAACAGTCCACCTGCAGTAACTGGGGCTGGGAATACTTTGCTCCTGTGGTGTTTGTTCCCAAGGCCTTCAATAGCTACTGTGTGTAATCCAACAGTGATTATGTTCTGGCACAAAATACATGCTAGTGTAGGAAAACCAGTTTTTCATGGCTAACATTTGTTGCTCAAACAGAACTGTGAGTGGGCCAGTTGGGAATACAGTATTGCATTATGTATTCTGCAGGTCTCCAGTGTGGTTTTTGCATGCTAATAGGCATTGCACTTTGGCTTTTATTCTGTAGGTGGCTGGGTTGTCTCATTCTGTGCTGCATGGTAGTCCTGATTCTGGTCTTTTACTATCTTGGATTGCTATGTGGCACCTGTGGTTATGATAAACATGCTTCTCCGACAACCAGAGGCTGCATCTCCAACACTGGAGGAAACTTTCTTATGGCGTAAGTTTAACTTATTGGTGAAAAATAAAATAAAGGTAGCTGTATAAGACTGGTTTTATTGATTTTGAAAGATATAGTATGAAAAGAATTTTTGTTTATTGATGTATATGTGCTGAAAAAAAAGGAACAAAAATAAATACTGATCTCACATACTTCCACTGAGGGACTTGGGAATTTTGGGTTGCTCTTTCAATGAGGATCATAGCTGAAGAATAAAATCTCTGAATCTACTGTTACAAGGTGAGTGCTGTAGCTAATGAAATTCTTTGTAAGCCCATTTGGAAACTGCAAAAACTGGGAGCAGATAATTGAAAATATAAAGGAAATTCATAGCTTTTTAGTATGCTTGAGCATTTGCTTGGGAAAAAAAAAAACCAAAACCAACCAACCAAACAAAAAAACCAAAAACCAACATGCAAGTTGACAAGAAACACTTGACTTTCTCAGAACACTTTAGGAGGTTTGAGGTTGCTCTTGGAAGTTCTCTAGTGGTTTAATGTCATTTCTACCAGACACAAGAGAAGATTGCATCTGAAATCTGTCTAAAACTCTTTTGAGAGCACAAAGCTAGAGAGTTGAATTTAAAAAAGAAAATTAAATGCTTTTGTGGCTCTTAAACTTAACTCTTAATAGAGTTTGCAATGCCCAGTGCAAATATGAGCATTTTAGGTGCGCTTCAGCTGAAGACTTTACAGGGCTGAAACATACAAGACATTTCAGAGGGCAAGAACATATTTGGAAGAGAAGTATTTAAACCATCTGCCAGTTTTTGTATCTCTATTGTAGCTGGTAACTGTTGGCCTCAAGTATATATACTTTGTTCTTAAAAAGCAAAAACTTATTCAACTTATTTCTTTTTCAGTGGTGTTGGATTCAGTTTTCTTTTCTCCTGGGTGCTGATGATTGTAGTGGTGCTCACTTTTGTCACAGGTGGAAATATAGAAAAACTGGTCTGTGAGCCCTTTGAAGATAAAACTTTATTCAAGGTGAAGTTATTAAAGTTATTAAACAACGAATAAAATCCCCATAAGTCCCAATGGTCTTGTCCTTTATGTATTGCATTATTTTTTATAGAACACTTCAGTTGAGTTTGGATGTGGTTTTACTTTCCCCTTGCACGCCAGAGACATTGATCCTTTGTTGATTTCATTTGCTTTGCAGTGTAAATACTGCATGCCTGTTTTCCTTTGGAAATAAATTTTTCTGTGATTTTGCATTTCATGGTGACATGGAGCTTTAATATTCACTTTCTTCACCAGAGAGGTTGAATTCACTGTTGTGCTTTTATTTCCATTAGTGGGTGGTAAGCTTCGGTGCGGGTATGTGTCAAAAGATCATGAATTGAAAACTCAGAACTATAGTAACATCACTGAATTTTGTCCTCTAGGTTTTGGATACTCCCTACTTACTAAATCAAGACTGGAAAAACTACCTTTCTGGCATCTTGTTTAAAAATCCAAATATTAACTTGACTTTTGAAAAAGTGTACAGGTACTTATGCACTCGTTTTGTGGTATGCTTCATATTTCCAGCACATGCAAAAATCACACATATTCCAGAAGACATTCTGATTTTCTAGTGAATCACTAGCAAAAGCAATTTTCTCCTATATGTGAGTTGTTATTAGAGGTAGTCTTAGCATAATATTATATAATGATACCATTTGAGCACTTTGATAAAATATTTTGCATCTTTGATACCTGCAGAAATTACTTGCTTTCTTAAAGACTCAGCTTTAAAAAATATAGCCAGAACTTTTTTTAAAGGGCTGATTTTCTTAGAATTTGAAAACGTTGTTAATCATTCTCTTAACACTTGTTCCTCAAGGTGGATTTTAGGCTGATGTATGTATGTTTATTTTATAGTGATTGCAAGGAAAACAAAGGAATTTATACTTCCCTTCACCTAGAACACATGTTCAATATTGAAGAATTTCTAAATATTAGTATGGTAAGTAAAGAAAGCATGAGTGCATCATTTGTTTTTGAAGACTGGAGAGGTGTTTGCTCTTAAACACAGTATAGCATTTCTGGGGTTTATGGGATTTTGTTTTTTATATATAGTACATCCCGCAAGGAGGCAAGAACTGTCCTTCTTTTGAAGTTCATTTGAAAGAAAGAAATCTATTTACCAATAAGATTCTTTACCAGTCTTAGTGGGCCATGGAAGGTTTCTGATGTGCTGATGGATGGTGATAATAATGTTGGGTTTAATCTTGAAACTTGCTTAGACGCTTCAAATCTAGCATCTTGCACAGGCTGCTTACTGTGTTCAATGTGTCTTGCTCTTTATATAAATGCCTTTCTTCGTGTGTTCTCTTCTGTTTCCAGTCAGATTTATGTTGATCCAGGACATGATATTCTGTGCTTCTAAGAATACTTCCGATTTTGTTGGGATAAAACAAAATATTTTTAGTTAAGATGTAATAATACACGACTGCACTGTCATTACATGACTTTGCTAATTTTGAGGTTGCCCAGAACATTCATTACAGAGCAACCCCTACGGGATCCATGTTCCATTCTGCCAGGCACTGTACCCACACTTCATATATACAGTCCCTGCTGCAAATAATATACAGTTAAAATGAACAGGGAACATGCACTAAGAGAGGAAATTTGAGTTTCTGCAGCAGGCTGGGAAGGAAGTTGGGTTTCCCAATTCCTCATCTATTTTTTCTGTGCACTGTGCAAGACAGGTAACATTTTAGGTTTGGGTGCAGTGCAGGAAGACTTCAGGTAACAATAAGCAAGTCATCTTTAGTCACCAGTAAACATATATAGAGGAGGCACATCCAGTCCTGTGGCCAATACAGCAAACAGTGTCTGTCCTGACCACAGCTGATACTGATTATCCAGGTTTCATTGATTAGGGCCAGGGGTATAACCTAAAATTTTTAAGGTTAACATTTCCTGGAGGGGAAAGAGAATTCTGTTTTATCTCAGCCTCCTCTTAGGAGGGACTAACTATTCAGAGAAGCCTGCTTAAAACTTTATGGCAGGCAATTAATTCATTAGTATAAAAGATGCACAGGTAGGTTAGCACATGGCATGGCTAGACTGTGGATACTGCAGGGAAGGGAAGAACATTATGTGGTGGATTCTATCAAAGTTAATTAAACTGATGCAAGAAAAAAATCAATGTGTGCTGCTTCATGGAAGTGATGAGTCAGCAAAAGCAAGATGCTTGGAGGGGCCACTACAGAGATGTATGTACTGGGTTCAAACTACTTCTGTGCTTTTTTTGTTTCCCTCTCAGTATACAGAAGATGTAGCACTTAAAATTGAACATATTCAGATAAACCTCAGCAAAATCATTCTGCTGGATGAAATTGGGAAGGAGAATCTTCTGAATTTCAGCTCTTCAGGAATAGAAGGGATAAACTTTGCAGCATATTTGACAGAGGTGAGATTGTAGTAAACTAAAGACATGAGTGGGACAAAGCATAAAATGAAATATTTATTTAACAATAGGCAAACCAGAAAAATCTGCTTTTGTGTGAAAGGATGTGTTTTGAAGAATAACAAAACTTAAGAGCAAAAGTACGTCAGAAGTTAAGGTCAATAAACATTAAGAAATAAAGGGTAGACAAAGTAGGTGGTGTGGTTGAGTGCAAGCAGTCTGTACATGCAAGAACAACACGCTCTTTTTCTTTCCCTACTGTTCACATCTTGTTTCAGATCAATAAAAGTGTTACCAAGGTTGATCTTCTGTCATTTGCTAATGACTTAGAAGCAAGAGCAGACCAGCTGGTAAGTTTAATTCACTAATAGAATAGCACATAAAATGGATTGTTTATATGGTATGTAAGTATAAATACATAGCCAAGTATTTAGACTTCCCTGTGGGAAAATTCTTGTACTTCAGACACTTATATACATGATGCATTGTCATGTAAGGAAAAACTTTCAAGAACAGTGTTGCACATAAGCTGTATTTAAATATTGCTAATTATTGATTTTTGTATGCTAAGTGTTGTACAGTTTCTACTTTGGAAGTATAATTTTTCAAATTCCACTGTTTGCTTAAGAAACGAGGGGAATACTCCTTTTGAGTATTTCCTGTTATGCTGTCTGCATTTTAGGGTACCACTTGGAAGAAAAATTGTTTAGATCATTATGGAAAAGATGATTTGAATTAATTTTTCAGTTAGTGAGAAGATTTTGCAATTAGCAATAACATTAATACTGTGGCAGTTTATAAGGGTTCTAATGAGAACTGGAGCTCCATTGTGGAGAGAGAATGCACAAAAGAGATCATGTCTGCTCTGAAGAGCCTTTTGAATGCAGACACATGGACAATGGTCGGAGGGTATAGCTACAATGTTGCCCACAAATGAATCTGCAGAGTTACACAGCTGTGTTAACAGATAGTGAATATTCAGTTGGTATGTTTGTATACATGTCAAGGTCACTTTATTTTTCAAAATGAAATGTCCAAAAAAAAAAAAAAAGGCAAAAAACAAACCCAAAATAATCCCACAACAGTGTGATGTATTCCAAAAAGTTAGGTTGTTTCAAAACTGATACTGTTTTCCAAGGATATTTTAAAATCCCACTGTGTTATTAGTGATAGCTGTTAAAGTTTACAAGAAAAATAATTTAAAAATAAAGTAAAAGCTTCTGGAATTAATTAACTTTGTATAGTTTGCGTTTTCTGGCACCTTACACAAAATCAAACATACGATTGTACACTGGAGTGAGCACATGAAAGAAAACTTGCATCAAACCAAGGGGTCAGGTTGTGGAGTAGGGAGCAATACCACCCACACCACAGGTGTTAGGGAAGTGAATTCACCTTGTCAGTACAGGAGATGAAGCATCCTGAAGCTGCTCAGTGACTACAGCTTATATGAACACTTCACAGGAAACAAACACATCTCTGAGCATTGAGGTCTACCATTATTACACTTCCAAAATGGAGTTAGCAGTGTGTATTCCGTGTGTATGCAGGAAGCCAAGTGATCTTCCACCAAAAGAAGATGGAAATGTATTTCTGAGAGTAAAATCAAATTTTACAGTATATTACAAGTGTGAGCTTCAGACAGGCATTTGGAATCAGCATAAACTTGTATCTCCTAACTGAAAGGTGGGAGATGCAGAAATGAAAAATACTCTTCACAGATGCGTTTCCGAGTTACTGACTGAAAATATTTAAACTTCTGTGCCCCTCAAAGCACAGTGTGCTTCGGGGTGACGTCCACAGTGCCCGAAACAAAAGCAAGTACCTATGACTGGGAGATGCTTGTCCCAGCTGGGGTGCTGTGCTACAGGGTTCTTGCAACGAAGTCTGGCTTGTGGCAAGTGAGAGAGGATGTGCTTGCTCTTCTGGATTTAAAATGACTTAGTGCACCATGTGAAAATTATCTTCAGTTAAGTCTGTGTTGATAATGTTATAGCCGGGAAAGCAGTATAATATATCTGATTTAGTTGCTGAGGTTTGAATTATTAACACAGTGATTTTTTTTTTTTTCCCCCTCCTTGTGTTGAGGAATTCAATTTGCCATATCCCGTTGTTAGCATCAGCTGTTCTGCAGCAGATGAGTATAATGTGCAACTTTCATTGTTTTATGCTTAGTTGGAAAGCTTTGAGACTACTGAACAATACTGCATAATTGAATTTTTTGCAGCCAAAAGGAGCACTGGAAAATGCCTTAAAAGGACACGCAAACAGCATTCGAATGATTCATAACCAGCAAGTCGTTCCGCTAGAGCAAGCTATGGTAAAATATTAAAGCAATATTAAAACATTTATAGACAATATGAATCACTAAATCTTTTAAATACAGTTTAGAAAGCTGGACTTTGGCTATTATATAAGCACAGATTGCATTTGCGTCGTGTCACTGAAGAGTAATCTGGTTAAAGTATGTGTTTAATAGTTTTCCTACTTATAATACTACTGCTTTATAATACTAAAATCATGACCTTTTTCTTCCCCGTTTTTGTTATCTATTTGTGATTATATGTGAATAAAAGAGGAAGCAGGAGAGAACTTTATACAATTCTAACACTAAATTACTCTTTTTTTTTTTGCTTACCATTTGTCTTCAGTAATAAAAGTAGTTACCACTTTTATAGTTTATTTCTTGGAGTTAGCAGTCACCTAACAGTGTTGGATTTGGAAACTTCAAACAGCAGTATTTATAGCAAAAGAAAAATCTATTCCATTGATGCTGTAAAAGATGTGAAAGGGCCTTCTGCCTGATTTTGCTGGGCACCGATTTGTGTAGTACCAAGTTGTGAATCTCATACATTCTATGTATTGTTTTTTCCTCTACATAACAAGACTTTTAGTTTATTCTAGCATCTGATACAGTATTTCTGCCCCTATCAAAGCCCTCTTGCAAAAAAGCATTAGGTCTTCTGTTCCACTCTGTTTCTATGCTGTTCTTTACTAATTAACTCCTAATTATTCTCATCTCTTTTTCCTTTTACAAAACTGACTGTCAAGAAATATGTTAAAGCTAGGGTAAGTGCTTTTTCCATTCTGAAATTGCATAATATAGAATTCTCTGAACACTTGGTTGTGATTTTAACTGCTCTCTCTTTCATCCAAATAAATCTCACTCAGTTTATTGCTACTAACTTTAGTTAAATCTGAAGTCTTCCAGTACAGTTTATAACTATGTAGTGCTGTTGGTGAAATACTGATTCAGTGATTAAAACCACAATATATTAGTTTTAATACAACTATATACAATGTGATGTGATATGCTGTGTTACAAACTATCTATAGAATATCAAAACATGCTTATAATGTTAAAACAGTTGGGGGCTTACCTGTAGTAATGACTTGAGTCTTCTTTTTTCCCCTCCTCTCCTTTCTAATAGAGCACTTTAAATCAGAGCATTAGGCTGCTGAAGAGGACATCATCTGAACTTATGGTAGGCTTTTCTTTCTGCCAACAGGGCCACTTTTATGTGTTTTAAATCTATCTGCCACACATGCAAGGCATGTATTTTCAGTACAGCTTTTTTCATTTGTAGCTGTTCTGTTATTGGAAGAGATTGTAATGCATTGAGATAGTAACAGGGATTTAGATATCTGTTCTGCACAGCGTTTTCTACCCTGTCTTTCCCTTCCTTATAGAGGAAGAGGGGGGGGGGAAGAATTTTGGGGATATTTTTTGAAGTATGAATTGTAAACTTAATTGTCATGTGATCATGCAGTACATGGATCTGTACTGAATCTGTACTATTTATGTTCCCAAAAATTTAGTTGTGCTTTCTAGAATCCTTGAATACAAAACTTGAGGGGGACAACCAAGAAACAAAATAAACAAATACAGTTGAGAAAAGAGAGCTTTGTAATTCACATCCTTAACCACCTCTTGTCCACTGTCCAGCTCCCACTGGGGCCTGTTTCTGTAGCATTGTACTCATTACCTTCCTGCTTCTGCAGCATCAGCCTCGCTGTGGAAACCTGGATCTGTATAGTCTTTCCCAGGGCAGCCCATGTTTCCTATCTACACAGCAGTTAGTGCCTGCACCTTGATGAGACCAGCTGCTCTGCCAGACTCAGGAGAATAAGCAACAGGATGGTCACTTTTCTGGCTGCAGAGCTTTCTGTCGCCACCAGCCTGCCTTGGCTCTGGTAGCAAGAATCCAGCCATACTAGCTAGCACTTAAGAGTCTGTTGTGGTTTAGCCCCAGCTGGCAATTAAGCACCACAGCCACATGCTCACTCCCCTGCCCTGTAGTGGGATGGGGGATAGAGTCGGGAAAAAAAAGTAAAACTCGTTGGTTGAGATAAAGACAATTTAATAGGACAGAAGAAGAAGGGAAATTAATAACAGTAGTAATAATGGTAATATTAGAATATGCAAAACAAGTGATGCACAGAACAATACATCTGCGACTGATACCCAGCCAGTCCCCAAGCTGTGGTGTCCCCATTTATGTACTGGGAATGATATCATATGGTATGGGATATCCCTTTGGCTCATTTGGGTCAGCTATCCTTGCTGTGTCCCCTCCCAGCTTCTTGTGCACTCCCAGCCTCTTATTGCTTAAACACAACTAAAACGTCAGTGTGTTGTAATCCTAAATCCAAAACACAGCGCTATACCAGCTACTAGGAAGGAAATTAACTTTATTCCAACCAAAACCAGGACAGAGTCACAGTCAGAACAGCTTGATGTGCCATACCTACCTCAGTTGTTCCCATTAAGGTTGTCACCCATCCACAGCAGCAGATCAGATAGATTTGGTTTAGAATCTATGATTTGAAACTGTATGGGGAGGTAAGAAGCCATGAAAGAAGGTGTGGATAAGAAAAGGATGATGTTTGACCCTTAAGTGTATTTAAGAAACATCTCTAGTTTCAGGCTGAATGTACATTATCCTTTGTGTATGTTCTTTGAGAGACTTTTATGGGCTTGTACATATATTGAAGGAGTGTCTCAATCCTTTTGAATATTGATTAGCAGCATACTCTAGCTGTATAGTTTAATACTCTACTAATCACAAGTTGTAATAGTACATGTTTTTCTACTGTTTTGCTGTGCACTCTGTTTGTCTGTAGTGCATATACATACATTGATGAAAGTATTTCTACACTTAAGGAAAGGGAATTGAAAATTGATCTAGTATATAAATTAGTTACATAGGTTCCAGGAAAAGATACTGTTTGTAACCACAGATACATTCCTTTTTTAGTAGTGAGAGTTTTGTCAGATGATCGTGAATCCTTAGGCAGGCTCATGTTCTGTCTGGAACTGCACATTTTGTCAGGTTTTGACAGGACAGTGATGCTGTTTTATCAAGAGAATAGGTTCCCGACAATGGCTGCAGAACCACTGTAACATCCTGAAAGGGATTTATTTATATTAAACACTATCTCTTGCTTTCCAGGTTAAGGTGAAAAATGTAATTAGTGCTGTTAATGCTGCCCAGCTACTCATAAATAACAACGCTTCTCTAGTTATTGTCCAGGTAAGCTTTATTTGATTAAAGTACATTAATCTATGATGTCACGGAGATAGACATTGACTTACTTCTGTCTGTTCCTAGGAGACAAAAAAGTACATGGATACCATAGTTGGCTACTTTGAGCAATATGTCGAGTGGGTCAAGGAGTCGGTAAGGTGCATTTTCTTCATTGACAGAAACTGTGCTTAAAAAAATTAAAAAGCAAAATAATAAAAATTTTACATTGGTAGCATGTTTTATATTTTCAGTTTGTTAGATATTTGTACTTATTATGAAGGGGAAAACTTTTCTTCTATAAATATTTCTGTTGTTTGAAGTAGAATAGAAATGATGAGTTTTGTTGATTGGAATAAAATGCAAATTTAACATAGTAGGCTAGCCTGAAGTCTTAACATTTGTGCTAATATTGCAGTGAGCTTGATCCTAGTTAGTTCAGGTTGATGTCATTAGCATCTTGTTTTATTTTTCTTTTTCTTTCTTTAGCTGCAGCCTTTGAGAAAGTAAGATGATGTTTTAAAAGATGCTTGGTTGATAGAGTATCCCACTGGAATTTATTTTTAATTTGGATAGGGTGAGAGATAACAATTTAGTAAACAGTATCTGTAACTACAAGAAAAGTTATGAGATTCTTATTTTATTCTGTTAGATACTCCAAACTATTATTTTTATAAATGTCTTTCAGATTGCCATGGAGGTAGCGGCGTGCAAGCCTATTGCCAATGTGATAGATACAGCAGTAGATATTTTTTTATGCAGCTATATAACTGATTCTGTGGTAAGAACTATTTTCTGTTACTCAAAATTGGGGCATCAAGTGGGAAATTCTTTGAACATAAATCTGCATTTAATTATTCTGCCTAGACTATTCTGAAGTATGATAATGAAGTATCACATTCAAAGTTATGCAAGGAAAAAAATGTTCTGATCTGAATCAAGTCCAAAGGCAAACCAGTGCTGGACTTGATTTAGGTTCCCATTAAACTTAGGCTTCTATTAGTAAGAATTCTGTGAAATTATCTGTTCTTACTAAATTTATTCCAACTTGAATTGCAAAGTAAATACAGTATTATTAGTTTGGAATAAAAATTCTGGAAAGGACCTTGAAACGTTTACAGCTGAAACATCTAACTTAAGGGGATGGGGTTGGGCCAAGAAATGAGTGAGAAATACCAAGGAAAAACTTTCTGAAGTATCTTTCCTGGTATCTAGAAAACCTGAACAAAGTTTTATCGCTTGACTTATAGCTGACAGATCTCAATTCATACCGGTCCAGTGGACCCTTTGAGCATAACTGGTAGCAGTGTATAAGGACAATATTGGCTTTTTCATCTTGCCAAAAGAGCTTGGAAAGAGGACAGCGTGTATTAAAAGAAGAAGAAACCACGTGCCTCGAAACAACCTAAAACATTTCCTAGCTATTATTTAGCATTATGACACTTTTAGCCAGGTCTTAATCATATGAACAGTAAACACATGTCATCAATCAAACCCAAAGCACTCTAAGTTTGATAATGTTTAGCCGTGAAATGCTTAACCTTGATAATGCTTAACCATGAAAACCTCATAACCTGCCAGAATCATAGTGTATTCATTGATTATCTCTTGTGTTACAGAGTTTCTGTTCTCCTTTGTGTAGCCACTAACAGTCTGGTGGGAGATGGACCACGATTTTCCTGATGATAGAACTTAACTGAGTCACTTATAAGTCAAAGTGCCTCCAGCAAACACAAATCAGATTTGAAAAATCATCATTTTAACATCTGGTGATATCTCAGTTCAACTGTATGTTAATGAAATTAGTTACACAAACAGGCTGCAGTTAGCAAGTTAAAAAATAACTTGAGAAAGTGCTGGAAACTCAGATTTTGACAAGAACCACAAGAAAGACAAATACTTTAAAATATCAAGAAAGGAAAAAGAAGTAATGTGGCTAGTAAATTAATGCTGAGACACAAAATTACTTTCTAGCCTGAGTGTGACTATGTTGAAATAACTTCTTAGGGCACTCTGGCTGTATAGCTTTGAGCAACTTTGGACATATTCCTGTTTGTTTACATTGGTGGTGTTCTTACTTTAGTTCACAGTGACAGCAAAGAATGCTCAACAAGCCCTGTTCCACACTAGTATAGGGATGCTCAGATAGTTCACAGGATCAGTGCAACTAATCTCTCCTGTGTTCTAATAGTAACAATGCTTAGAATATCCAGCAAAGATTCAGTACTTTTCTGATAGATCTTCTCTGTGATTTTTTTTCCTGGATTTTGCTTTGTTTCAGAATACCTTCTGGTTTGGTTTGGGAAGTTCTTCAATATTTTTAATTCCTGCCATAATTTTTGCTGTAAAACTCTCCAAATACTATCGTAGAATGGATACAGAGGATGTATATGATGAGTAAGTATATACTCTTAAGTAAGCTAAATGGCAAATGGATTGAAATGTTTTTCCTAGTGTCTCACACGAAGGCGCTATAATTCTTAAACAATCTGTGCTGTCACATTAGAATTGCATGTTCTTGTGAAATAGTGCGTGTTTGGGTTGGTGCCTGCAAAGTGCTTCATGCCAGTGGGATTTGGTTACCTTGACTTGCTGTGATTCTGTGCAGATATTGCCAGCTCTGATTTTGAGAAACTTGTTTTAGAATGAAGTTTTCAGCGCTTTGTGTACGGTGTTTATATAAATATTTTCCAAATGTGCAAGTGATTAGCTTTGTTAAGTAACCTGTTAAGGTGAACTATGCCTGCTTTGTAGTCTCTTTGAATGAATTATTTGCTTTCTTACTGTCTTAGTTATTCCTAACCAGTCTTTCCTTTCTCAATTGCAGTTCCTCTGTCTCAGGGACTTGGCATTTTACTTTATGATAACTGTTCTTACAGATTTTCACATCAGTTTTGGTTTTACAGTGTTGTTTGTTTGTTTGTTTTTTTTTCCTACTCTTTGTTTTGCTCATTGTTCAGTTAACCTGTACGCTGCATTTCTCAAATTTCACACTGGTCGTTTTTCATTACACATTCACAAGTCAGTAGAGCAGAAACAGGCATGTACAGCTAAAATTGCTCACTACTTAGTGTCTAGTTAATTACTCCTCCTTTTTTGTGTTTTTTAGTGTCAAAACTATACCCATGCAAATGTAAGACATTTTTGCTGGTATATTTTACAATTATTTTACTTAGGTGGGAGGGTGTATATTTTTAATGTAACATGTTACTTCAAAGAAGGTAACATGTTCTTTTTCACCAGACTTTATATTAGAGTATCCAATTCCACAAGTATAGCAGAATAATAATTAAATACTTTTTGGAGACTATAAAAATATTAACAAATGTAAAATATAATTATGCCATAACTCCTGAATGTTACAAACAAAAAGTTATATTCTATTGTACAGACACAGTTTATCTTTGCATATAATACCGTCATCCAGGTACATGTCTTAGAAGCCATACTGTACATATTGCATCTTATAGTTAACATGGTCTTTCTTGGTGTATTTATTTTATTACAGTACGGAAAATGGTAATAATGGTTATCATAAAGAGCATTTATATGGTATACACAATCCTGTTTTTACAAGGTAAACGAAGTCTGAAACTGCATGCCTTCATGTGTCCTTACTTAATCTACTACTGTATTAATTGCCTATCCAATTTTCTTTGCATTTAAAAGTGAATCACCTAATTCTCTAATTTTTTTGCATGATTACTCACTATAGAAAATGCTGTATGATTTATATTTCTCAAATTTTCTTCACATCACAGCAGATATTGTAGTAGTTTCCAACAACTTAACAAAGCAATTGTCTAAAAATCCAGGTAATCAGGTATTTCTTTTGCACAGGGGATGGTCCTAAATTGACACATGTATTAAAATAGTCTGATAGCAGTTGAAAGTGCTGGAATGGGTTGAATTGTTACTCCTGAGTTGTTCTAGTTTTATGATGGTGAGGAGAAGAGCTTTTCCTGTGCAAAAGGCTGGTGAGCCACAGTATGCAGAAAACATGAACAGAGAAAATGCATGTTTCTTCTGCATGGGTAGAACTAGTGTGTGTAACATAAAACAAGACATTCATGTTAAGAGATTTGGTTTCTTTTCTGTCTCTACAACTTCTATGCTGTAAAAACTTTGCTAGTTGTGAGACTTTAAGTTTCCATAGAGGTAACATAGCATGTCCCACAACTTCGGTATTTGGGTTTGCAAAATACCAGAGCTGCTTAAGGAAGGATCTGATTTCTGATTGAAATCTGTAGCTGACTGTGCCTTAACTTGCAACTTTGTGACTGAAAGTGTAGGTTGAGTATTGGCAGAGTAGTAAGATATCATCATTCTTTCAGTAATGGGTAAATAGCAAGAGAGCTCAGACTTTGGAAGTCTTCCCAGATTTTATGGCTGCATCAGTTGGATATTATTATTCATTAAAACTGTATTTTACAATAATTATTTACTGACTAAATCTTGATTTCACATTCCTTGTGAAGGAAGGAATATAACAGTGTTTTCAGTGATATTTACAATTGTCATGGTCTATTCTGCAACTTAAGGGTACTCCCTAAATTAATATGCAAGGTGTTTATTTCAAAAGTACTCTCCACTGACATATCTAAGGACTCTCAGTTTTAGGGAGTTTAGATATTTTACATAAGAGGGAAATAATATTTGCTTAGGCCTTAGAAGTCCCTTTCAGATCTTTGAATCTTTAATACAAATGTTAATATTCTTGAGGTTCATAGCATGTTTTCTGTGATATTTAAGTGATTGATTAATAGTTTAATAGAGTGTTCCTGAATAAGCTTAAAATTACTAACATAAAATAATTTTTTAAACAAAGACCCACTAGTTCAGTCCTGACTTAATTTTCCTAAATTTTAAATTACTCAAAGTGGGCTTCCATGATACAGTGTGAGGATTCAGTCTGAAGCGATGTGATGTTGCTTCAGTCTGAAGCAATTCTGATGTGCTGAGATAATTTAAAAACCTGCTAATTATGAGATACACACTTTGAGTTTCTCAGTTTGGGATTCCCATAGCAATAGGGTTGTTTTTAACTTTCAATTCAGCAAACTCTTTGTTTGTATGCTATCCTCTCCTCATTTCCTACAAATTATTTTGGGAGATACTTTGAGAGCTAGGACCTTGAACAAGTCTCCATACACCTGTAGTTTTGCGGGTGTAAAGAATCCCATAGAGTTTTTTTGTCCTTTGAAATCAGCTGTATTATTTGCTGGAAAGAGATGCAAATATCTTTCTTTATAAATAGAAGATGTCGGTACAAGTATGGCATCTGTAAGAAGTATATTTATATTTGTATAGTTGTCTCATGTAAGTGTTTTTATATACATGTTGAAGATCCAAAAAACCTCAAATACAGTCACCATTTTTGTGAGAGCAAAATTGAAAGCTGGATTAAATTCTCAAAGGAGTGATACTGAATAGTAATTCAAGCATTTCTTTCTGTCATGAAACAATGATAACTGTAAGTGTTGGTGAAGAAAACCATGAATCTCTATTTCTTCTTGTTTGAAAAAATCTTGATTAAATGGGTAAAAGTTTGAGAACAGTTTGTGCCAGCTCAGCTTGTCTCACCTTAGTTAGACGCAGTATTTCTGTCCATTTGTGGGCAAAAGAAAATGATTGTTTTGGTTTGTGTTTTTTTTTCTTTTTTTTTTTTTCTTGTATAGCTCTGTGGAACAGTGGTAACACATACTGGAAACATTAACAGGTAAGTCAGTTCAAGTTGTACTACTTTACTAATTTTAAGAAGGCTGCTTTGCTTTCTGTAACATGAGTGCTGCAAGGTTTAAAAATAAAAACTATTGAACCATATTAATGTTCATGTGAAAATCTGTGTCTTCATTGTGCTTAAATTACGTTATAATTCTGTCTTCATCAAATTTTCCTGAACTATTTTTGTGATTATTTCTAGGCTGTATAAATGAGGCTCAAGATTCTTCTGCGGGAATATATCATTATTCTTACAAGTGTACTGGCATTTGCATTCATCTTCCAAATCCTGAGCCACTTGTTTGATGTCACCTGTACTGTAAATCCCAAATGTACTATTGAATGTTACGCCATAAACTACTGTACAGAATATTTTGCGATCAGGGCACTGCCCCTCAAATACCACTGTTCAAGGCTTGAATTAAAACGGTTTTTGTTTTTTACTTTTTTACACTGGGCTGTTACATCACAGTATAAAAATAAATTAGATTAACAGCCTTTGCCTAGCAATCCTCTGACAGTTGGTCAAGTTCTTATCTTAAATTGTTGATTTGTGTTAAATACAGTACATACACGTTTACATAAAAATACATTTTGTATACAGAACTTTTGTATATACATTTTTCTTAAAACTTGTAAGTGTTTAGTTAAGATTTTAAATTGTATAATAGTCTTCACCAATGAATTTACCAGCATGATCAGTGTTGCTATTTGGTGCTCTTGAATGACCACTTTGAACTAAATTTGAAGCGTAATGGGATCCATGGTGTCTCTTTGTGTCTCTGAAAAGTTCAGTTGCAGTTTTGTTTTCTCCCTCTTTTTTTAATTATTTAATATTTAGTGGTTTTTAAAGTATAGACCTAAAAGGGACTTTGGAGAAGTTTATTTTGAAACTCTTTGGGTGGGAGGGTTGGGAGTTGCGTGATGCGTAATATAGTGAAAAGGCTAAGCTTTCTAGAGAGTTCAGTAGTATTCAATAAGAGCATGAGACGTGTCATATATTGGTGATTTTTTAGAATGTTTTACATTTTCTGTCTCCCTTTTCCTCATTCACACTCATTTCTATCATGTCCTTAATAGTATCACTGTTACGCTGTGGCTCTTTCAGGGGGCAGTGATACTATTTTTGCTGAATAATTTCAAAATATGATTTCTAATATTGAAATTTAGATGTGTTCAGCAATTAGAGTTAACATTTGTACTGGTAGAGTTATTGCCTTGAATTTAGGCATACAGTTGCATTACTTAATTAGATAACAGCAGATTTCATCAACAAGGCCAAAAGTATCTGTGTTACTAGTGTAAAACATTTCAGCAGGTGAAGTAATTTGGTATATTGATCTAAAGTAGTGTCTCTTGATTTATCAGTATTGTGAACTTTTGTTTCCAAAAAGGTTCATTGGCTTGAAGTAGGGATAATCCTGTAAATCATTCATATAATTTTTAAAAAATGCTGAAAAGTTATACCAGTTTTTAATCTGGAATAACCTTAAATTTTTCATTTTTAGGTCATAAATGGAAACATTTCTAATTGACAGTATGTAGCATATGTGTATATGTAATGTTCAGAACTGCATATTTTTAAAAGTTTCTATTTTTAATTTGAGAAAATGTTCCCAGCTCATTTAAATAAAAAAGAACTTGCTTAACTACCTGGTGTTTGATTCTCGATCATTTTGTTGAATAGACTTGTCTCAGAAGAGTTGCACTGAGTTAAGATCTCAGGAAAATGAATTGTTTTTACACTGATTAAAAAGTTCTGCTATGTTTGACTTATTGATGACTTTAAGCAAGATAAGAGACCAAGAACTGGAGCAGAAAGGACTGAAAGAACATTGACTCTGGGTTGGGGAGCTTCCAACTTCCACGAAGGATATGATTTATGTAAAGATGGTAGGATTTGAGCTAATGAGTTGTGGAGGATATCCACATACCCTGCAACCGCTGAAGGTGTTATCACTGGCTTTTGTTATTTTTCTAGCACTGACAGCAAAATTAAATGTTTGCTTGTTCTTCAGCTCCCATAATTCACTGCTGCCATCCTAGCTTAACTTGTAAAAGGACAGTTGTTTTTCACTGATACAATAGACTGTGAACTGTTTCATTTGAAGCACAGGCAGAGAGGGGACACAAATGTCAGATGGGAGTGAGACAAACAGTTGGCAGTAACATATTAACTGTAATACATAAGTACACCAAAGTTCTTGAGTCCAAGCTTTGGTACTTGTCTTTATCCTTGTAGTCTGATATGTTTTCATGAGTACACTTTTAACACTCTCAGGACAAGAGATCTGAAACTGGTATAAAGTAGCTTTAGTTTTGAATTCTATAACCACTATTAGGATGAGAGATGCATGCCTTTAGCTTCTGATCTAGGAACTGTCAGTGCTGTTGTGCATAACCAAATATTAGGAAGTCTTTGAGTGCTTGTAGTAGGGATTTTAAATCCTTGAAACAGAGTGTGAAATGGGCAGTAAGATTCTTATGTCTGGATGATGGGTGAGAAGGCTCCCCAAAAAGCAACAGAATAGTGAATCATAAATCTTGAGTAGACTTGTACCATTGCTGTTTCTCCTAAGACTTGACTGGAGAGCCACACCACTGTGCTTTGAAAGAGACAGTTGGGCAAGAAGCTAGAAATGAGCCTGAAAATGTTATTAAAATAGCCTTAGAGAGGGGATCAAAAGAAAACAGTGTTGTTCTCTCTATCAAATGGTATTTAGTCATGGGGAACTTCATGACATGTTCACTGGAAGAACAAGGTTCAGGCTACCCAGAATGGCTGTTCTAGGTGGCTCCATCTTCAAGCAGGCAGCTCTCAGGCTAACTGGGGTGTCACAGCAGCTAGGGACTCTATTGTCAAGTATTAGAGAAGCATTTGTCAGGTATTAACCAAGCTGGTGAAGGGCCTGGAGAACAGATCCTGTGAGGAACGACTGAAGGAGCTGGGACTGCTCAGTTTGAGGAAGAGGAGGCTGAGGGGAGACCTCATCACTCTCTACAACTATCTGAAAGGACATTGTAGAGAGGTTGGTGCAGGTCTCTTCTCACAGGTGATTAGTGACAAAGAAGGAATGGCTTTAAACTCCAACAGGGGAGGTTTAGACTAGACATTAGGAAAAAATTTTTCACAGAAAGAGTGGTCAGACAGTGGAATAGGCTACCCAGGGAGGTGGTGGAGTCACCATCCCTGGACGTGTTTAAGGGTTGTTTAGATGAGATGTTGGGGAATATGGTGTAGGGGAGAACTTTGTAGAGTAGGGCTGATAGTTGGGATCGATGATCCCAAGCTTCTTTTCCAACCTGAATGATTCTGTGAATTTTTTTGCGATTTTCTGCTTCACTGTCTGTGTTAATTGAATGGTTTTGCTTTGGTAGCTTTTTTAGTGGTACATATTGAGTGGCTAGATACACAAAATAGTATTCTATTCCATTATGTATGGGCATTCTTAAACCCAGCATTTCTAGCACCCCACAGTTATTCAACTGTACCTAAATAATGTGATACCCCTTCCAGAAGCTGTTCAGGTCAGGCTGGATGTAGGATACATGTTTTCAAAAGAAGTGCCTAGTGGGGTCTTATTACCCAGAAAAGTACTCTGGCTTGCAGAGGCATGGGAAGGATTTTTCCTCATGACCTCCTGAATGTGAAGGGAATTACCGTGATTTTCTTTAGCTCTGCTTTTAGTTACTGCAGCAGAAACTGCTAGTACAAGATTGTGCACTAAAATACTTTTGTTCTCTTGCTTTTGTTTTATGGCAGTTTTATAGCTCATTTATTATGAACAGGAAAGTATTTTTTTTAACGAAGTGAAAGTTGATAAAGCATGTGCTGACGTGCTCTGGGGTCCTTGCTGCCAAGACCCATGATAAGCTAGTTCTGCTGTCTTGCTCTGACTGATAATAACCCATGGTGTAACAATTATGGTAAAACTTCAAATGTTTCATTTATATTTAGCCTGTAATACCTTATTTTGCTAGAGCTTTATTTCTTATCTTGGTTAAATATTGCAAGTCTAAAAATCTTTCACGCCTCAAAGAACGTGCAGTTGATTCTTCCATGTGTTCTACTGCATGTCATGTGCTGACAAAATGAAGTACGAAAGTTGCATCCTTACTGTGCAAATCCACTGAAAACCTGTTCCACAAATCAGCACATTTATCTTTTTTTACTTCAGTATAGTCTTATGAGTTCTGACATGAAGATAGCTATAAAGCAGCTGGAGAATGGAAAATATCTGTTAAAAATCAAATATGACATGTTCATCCTGAATAGGAATGTGCTTCTCGGTTACACAACTATCGTTCTCTATTTAACTGCATTTACAAGATTTGTCTTGTTAACTTCTTGGGAGTTCACAGGTTATCTGACACTCCCTCAGGCTATAAATTTATGGGCACATGCCTACGGAAGGATGATTTAATATTTTTATTAAAAAAAAAAAAAAGCCCTTACATCCCCAGTTTAACTGGGAAGAGGCTTCTTTGTGCACCAAGCCTTTAAATTGTGAGCAGCCTGTTACTTACTGGCTTCACTTTTTTGGATCGTGTTGCTCAAGGATCTCAGTCAACTCCTCTCACCATGAAGAGTGTTGCTCTTCTTTTCCTAGTAGTTATCTGTGGCATGGGAGGATTGGGACAGAAGCTGAAGCCAAAGAAAAGAAGTAATGGCGAAGAAATCAACTTTCGGACTAAAACCAAAGATGTTTGCACAATGAGAATAAGCGGGGATGAGGAGAGGAAACTTAGAATCGAATGCAAAAGCCAAGGCATGTCCTACTGGTGTGAATTTACTGGCAAGCCATCAGTCTGTCGTGCTTTCATAAACAATCCAAAGATTTACTGGAATCAGATCGCTATGGAACTTAGAAAGCTCCCGCATGCTTGCGAATCCACACAAGTGTTGAAGATTACCATGTGCCAAAAGGCTCCCACAGAGGCTCTCATGAAGCAAGTAGATGCTGGTATGGAGCCAGAAGATCTAGCAAACCAGGACACGTCAGTCCAGAAAACTTCCATTTCTATGAGGGGAGCAGAGCAAAGCTCTGTTAAGAAAATAGACAAGCCCCCAATACTACCTCTTGTAAAACCAACCCAACATGGTCAAGGGTCTGAAAACGAAACAGAAGCAATGAAACTGGCACGGGAACATTGCTGGGAATCCCTGCATGGTGTCTGCTCCTACATTATTGGTATCTTCAGGGGTTAAGGATTTGCTTCAGGTAAAACTCCCATCTTGAAGCACAGTGGGATATGCCTAAGAGTAATCCTGTTGCAGTTTTGTTTTATTTTGATCTTGGGGGTCTTTCAGGTATGTGGACAGGGAGGTTCTAGTCTTGCTCACTAAGATCTAATGTGGTGAAGCCTGTACTGTGGCTTCTGAGGGGCTGGACAGCCTAAACTCGTGGTGATAGTTCCTGACATCCTTCTGTGAGGTCTTTGTCCTATCTGTTATTCATCTTACGATAATTCACTTCTAACTCTCCGAATTGGGCTTATTTTATATCTTCTGTCATTCCTTCCCTCTTGTCTTGACTTTTGGATTTAAGCCAGTTAAGTGGGATAAATAACAAACGCATCAGCTAGAACAATTTAGAAATACATTCAGAATTTGGGAGGATAAACCTTGTTCATTAAAAACTGCTAGTTAATAACCAGCAATTTTAATTTTTAAAATTAGTTCATAAACAACTTTCAGAAATGAATAAAACAAAACAGACTGTCTTGGTTTGCGCGTCTGTTTTCGTAGATGCAATAGGGGATCATATGCAGGCTCTTGTCTAATAAGTCTTGGGTTTTCAGTCAAGATTTAAAAAGCCCTCGCAGAAATGGTTGATTCTATACCCACTTCCATTTCTGCTCAAAGAGGGAAAGCCAGGAACTGATGTCTTAACCTGGCAAACTTGACAGAAATTGGAATATATGTAGCATGAACTAGCAATTTGGTTAAAGTGTTTAGGCTGTTAATGACCTTACTTGTGCCTTAATACAGCAAAGTGATTAATTTTTTTTTTTCTTTTTTGTTTTGCAGAGCAAAATTTTTACAGCTGAAGAAGGGTCCTTGATGTAGTTTAATAGACATGTTAATTCTGGTTTTAAAATGAGTAATCTCTTTAAGTCTTGTAGCTCTTTTCTCTTTGCACCCCTAAAATGAAACTTTTCAACAGCCCTGAAAAATGCATGAAACTGGGAACTAGAGTGACTGTACTTAAACTGTTAGGATAAACTAACTGTTCCTAGGTCTGTTACACACAGAGGTGTACCGCGTTTCTGTAACCAAGGTTCTGCTTCAAGCGTGCTGACCTTGAATAGGTTTTTCTGTGTGCTGATTCACTTCAGTTTGTTAGAGATAAAAGCTGTAAATGATGCTACAGTTAGTGCAAATAATAAAAATAAGATTTTTGAAAACCTACTCAGTGTGCTTTCTTTAAATGGTGCTAGTTGTATAAAGTCATAGTATTTAATACTTCTTTCTTAAGAGATTGTTGGTAGAATGTGTCATTAATAGTAATATTTTCAATGTTACTGCATTTATATTACAATTATAAGTTTCGGCCAGCAGGGAAAAAAAGGTTGGAGAAATGAAATAGTAATCTATGAATACATTTCTGAACATAGCAGATTAAAAGTGTTCATCTGTGATGCATCTGCAGAGTTCAGTGTTATTAGGATCTGCTAGTGGTAATATTAATGCTTGGGTTCAGTAAACAATCTGAGAGGTAACTCATCTGCAGTTGGGCTCTTAAATAAACCTCATCAAAATACAAAGCACAACCTAATAGCTTGTTGTCAGATTTATATTCAGATTGTCATTTATATTCAGATTATTTTTTAACAATGTTCCTTTTTGTTCCCAAGAGAGCTTCGCATCAGGGATGTAACTGGAAAAGCTTTGTGCCACGGAAATTAGTAGTGCTCTATGTTTGCCATTAAAACAGTTTCTGCAAGGCGTTGTTACGCTTAACTACTTCTCCAGCTTTACTCACAGATTTTTAATTCTTTCTTCATCATTCCAGATTGTGACTGTCCAATCACTAAACTCTGTGCCTTGTACCAAAAAAACTTGAACTAATTTTCTGTCCCCACACCTCTTGAAATATATGGAAAGGAACGGCAAGTCATGAACATGGGATCAGTGCAGAAGGTTGTATGTATAACACAGAAATACATCTTGAACACTGATAAAAATCAAGCACAAGCAAGTCTGTATTTTTTCAGCCATAAATCTAGTGTGGTTAATCTTAATTTGTAGCTTCAATTACCCTTGTGAAGCTTTTGTACTGTGACTAAAAAATGTAGCATTACACGTATTCCCTCATTTCTGTCATAGAAATGAATATAATTGATCTGCAAACATGCAAGATGCATCAAAGTGATATTTGGAAACTATTTGGAAATGTTAAGGTCAGGTTGAGGGTTTTCTTGAGGTGTATTTTTAAAATATTTTAAAACTCCTCTTGTATGATGTGAAATCCATACTGCAGAGTGAATATTTAGCAGAAGTATCCACTACAACAGTAATGACCTCAAAAATGAGAGTGTCTTGCATTGAGAAAAGTCTGGGAGAATCAGTCACCCACCGTACTGCTAGCAAGAGAAAAGAGGTTTCCTCAGTTCACCAAAAGAAAATTTTCCCCTTTGTGCCCTCTTCTATGTATATGCACTGAGCACAGAAGGCAGTAAAGTTATCTAACACTTCGTAGAACTCTTAATACAGTCTAAAATATGTGGCCACCGTTGATTCTGCTTAGCAGAGAATAAATGCCACATACACTTGCTAGTGCACTACTTCCTAGGGAACTCAATCTCGCTTCAGTATAGCAGAGCTCTGCTGCACAGGGCTCCATGCTTGGCACTGTTCTGGCTGGAATGACTTGTCTGAAGCTTCACTGTTGAAGTGGAAACTAGAAATCGACTAGTCTTCCACCAAAGGACCCTCTTTCATTAAATGCTTTTTGTAAAATATCCAGGATCCAAAATACGTAGTTAAACACTAGATCTTACAAAAAGTTGAAGATTTTGGCACCAAGGTGATGCATGGCTTGGATTACACCCTCAGCAAGGTGGTTATCCAGCAAATCCAGCAAGTCAGTTAACGATCATGATCTTACTTTCAAAATGTTTAAAAATTGTATGTTAACTGAAATACCCTACCTTAGTGTAACAGAGCCGTGATTGTATCGGCTACGTTACCATTTAATTGTGTTTAGCACTGGAAACGTATAGTCATGACATTTCAGTTACCTTCTTGGTATGAAAGTGCTATTAATTAATGAAAGTATGAATTGAAAAGTGTGATGAGTTTAAAGTAACCTTCAAGTACCTTGTGAATGAATGAAACCTGCTGTTTTTTAGGTTAACCTGTTAGTCTCCATATACATAAGTACCTCAGGAAATCTGCTCAAGTGGAGAGGGAATTTGGTTTGGTTTTTTTTTTCCTGACAGGGGTACAGCAGGCAAAAATGTTTGTCTGGATTCCTGCAACCAGAGAGACCCCTGATATCCAGGCCTGCCTGCTGCTAATTCAGTGCAATGTGAGGTGGTCCACCTGCCTCAAGATCCTCACATTTAGGTTCCCACAGAAGCATCTTGAGTATTTGCTACTTTGACAAGGTAAGCCTCCAAGAAATGCAAAATTATGTGTTTGGAGGACCTGTGTATAAAAGGGTGTGTATTAACACACACAGTTAAGATCCAAGAAAGACTGGAACAAGTCTAATGGAGAGCCACTGAGATGGTTGGGACTGGAGCACACTTCTGTGAGAAAGGGCCGAGGGAGCAGGTCTTGTTCAGCCTGGAGGAGGCTTTAGGAGGGAAATAATAGCAGCCCCCCAGATAGGTATGAGGACGCTATAAAGAATAGGGGGCTAGGCTCTTCACTGATTTGTGTGAGAGGAGAAAAAGAGATCATGGTCACAAATTGATACAAGTGAGGTTCCGACTTGGTGTAAGGAAAAATACTCACTCTAAGAAGGATAAACACAGGAGCAGGTTCCCTGGAGCAGCTCTGGAACCTCCATCTGTGGAGCTTTTCAAGACAAACTGGACAAAGTTTAAACAACATAGTCTGAATTCATTGTCAGCCTGCTCCGAGTATGAGTTTGGACTACAAACCTCCCAGGATGCCTTCTGGCCTGAATGATTCTATGATTTACAATGGAAACACCGAAGAAAGCTTAAAAGTTCTGGTTATTTAATACTGAGCGACTCTGTTAACATTCATGTCTCCTTTAAAGTGCAAAAAATGCTCTTGAATCAGTCATTCTAACTATATCAAATCAAAGGAGAGAGATTATTAAGTATGTTCTGATGGTAGATCCTGTCATTAAGTCAAATGCATCATCTTGGATAACGTCATGTTCAGTGCCTCTGTCTGTTGGTACATATTTTTATTTAGCCTGGTTTTCACAGCATAGAAAACCAACAAGAAATTCAGGTGTTAAGGAACACCAAATATCAGGCCTGTTAGCTTTAAAATCAAGTATCCAAAAATAAGAAAATCACCATTTGCAGTGTGTAGGTTATTTGTGTTAGACATGCCTCAATAATAATGTTGCTTAGTGTGCCTGTAAATCATGTCAACTATGCAGGAGTGCACTCTGCTGTTTTCTGAGAGAATTGTTTAGGAGTTGTATGGTCATTCTTGCAAGGTTTGCAGTTTTACATTTTGCATTCTTGATTTTTCAATAGGTGTGGTAGTTGCTTTGACATGGATTTTAGGGACAGAGATCTTCCACAAAAATAAGGTGAAAAAGGAAAAACTAAAATTTCCCAAAGTTGCCCATTGCCATTCCTACTTCTTTAGGAGCTTTGTGGTTGTCTATTTCTTATTTCTCTTTCTCTTGCTATTACTTTTCCCAATCTACATCTCTGAAGAGGAGTCAGATGCAGCAGAAGATTGTTTTTGGCTCTTTGTGCTTTTCCCCTTAGAAACAAGAGAATTGCTCTCATCAGACTTCACAGATCCTTTTACAATGTCAAACAGTATGTGATATATATACAAAACAGGAATTAAGAAAAAAAAAAAAAGGAAGAGATGCAGCCAGTATGATAACAAGACGTTGGTGTTATCTCATGGATGTGTCATATCAGACATCCTGAGAATCTGTTTATTTCACTGTCACATCATGTATACGAAGTTAACTGCATAACCATTAGGCAGGAGGCCAGGTGCTGAATTTCCAGAGTAGCTATATTACAGTATGTACAGAGCAAGAAAAACGTGGAGCTGAGGTCTGATTGGAGTGGAAGTTCACATTATAAGACTGTTTGCATAACCAGGTGCTTGCCATAGGCATCCCTCCCGTGGTATGCTCCTGCTGCCTCCGGGCTTACAAAGATTGTAGTCAGGAGGGGAAACAGAAGTGTCCTTTTAGGTCTGCTGGCTGCAGATGTAAAAACGGCTGTACCTCTGTTGTTACCACTGCCACCCGTAAAAATTAATGTGCAAATAGTTAAATTGCTTGCCCCTTTATTTGTCTCACCAGCGTAACATGGTGTGTGAGGAGGCCCTCCCCACAGACTCAGTTGTAATAAAATTAAGACTTTGCCTAGGAAATATAGAGGGCTAGAAATTTCCTTCCAAAGGAAAGGGTGAAGCAAAATTCAGGCTCTGAACTCTGGCAGAGGGGCCTTGCCATTTCCTCTGCCAGAATGGCCTGGCAGGCAGGCAGGAGTGCTGCCCGCCGTCTGTCCTCCCCTCTCGCCCCCCCTTCACGGCAGGCACGAGCCACATGGGTGGGTTGACCAAGGTAATGAGGTGATCCCCCGTCTTCTGCACTACAGAACTTTAACTCGGGAATCAAAAACTTTGTAACTGGGAAAGATAACCTGATGCCTTTGCAATAATGTGGGAGCCCTGGTCATTGTGGGAAGGTGACAGGAGGGAAATGTGGAATAGGGTTTCCACATCTGTGTGCAGAACACATTACCTGAGACCATCATGGCTCTTTGGTGCAGTGAAGCTGAAGCTCAAGTGTTTGAGCAGCACCTGGTTTTGCACGGGGGAAAAGTTGTATGGCCTCCGTGGGGGTTGTCATTCACGTGAGCCGCCATGGCCCAGGTGTGAGCAGGCTGTGCAGGCCCTGGGGGACCGCACGCTGCGGTGCTGTGGGGCCGTGTTGCAGTGCTGGGGCTGGGTTACGGTTCTGGGGCCCTGAGCAGGGCTGAGGAGGGTGATTTGCTGGCAGATGTAGGCATTTTGGCTGTTCTGCAGGGTCTGGCTGGAAGCAGCAGTGTTCAGGGAAAGTGTGGCTGGCAGGACCCTCCTGCAGGTCAGAGGCCTGAGCAGCAGAGACTCCGGTGCCTTTCAAGTCATGCTGGTGAAGAGGTTCCAAGACTTGTCATTAAAACCCATCCACAGAAATCCACATTGCATCTGCCATGAAGGTAGGCCACACCAGGATGACTGGAGATATTTTTTC